AGGCTGCCCCAGATGACACGATTTCTCTGTTAAGTAAATATGCCACATAATACGTCATTGTTTGATGACGTTATCGTACCTTGCACAACATTGAGAGCCCATTGACCTGAAAGATCTGGAAATCGTGCACACGAGCGCCAGATATGAACCGGTCAACAAGTACGTTTTTTCTTGGTCTTGATCGCTGCATGCCCAATGGAATGGCAGGATTTGAATGGCGTTTCAGTGGCGTTGTGGATACCTAGGTGACTCTGAAGCAGTCTCCCCGAAGAAGTGCACATCTTCCCGGGCGTATAGCGCAGAAACAAGAAGGGCTCAGGTCTTAAGATGAGAAGGTCTGTGAACTGCACCGGATGGTCTTCAAGATTGCTGTTTCAGTTGAAAACCTCATACATATGTAAAACTCTCCATTTAAAGTGGAGAGTTTTACATATGTATGTATGTAAGTAAAGCTGAAATACAAATTCCTTTTTCAATCCGCTTGTATTTTAAGTGCTTAAATCGTAGCAAGGCCTCGTGAACCCGCCGAGTTTCGACCACGCTCCAATCGCCACATGACATTGTATCGCCAGGTCGCCCGATCGTGGTGGACTGGGCCGTAGACAAGGCGCGCTATGAGGCTGCACAGAAACCCGCTCCAGACAGCAGCAAGGGACGCAAGAGGACGCACGAAGACGTCGACGAAGAAGACGAGGGCGGAGAAGAGGAAGACGACGGCTCCATCGCTCACAGGTGCCAAAAATACACAGGCGCGGGTAACATTAGGATCGCATGCGCAGCACGTGCTATGTTGTACAGATCTGACACAGCTCCGTCCACCCAAGCGTTCCCGGTGCCGCACCCCTCCCATTCAGGTGTGACCGCATGTGCCGCTGCGGAGGCGTCTGTCTGGCATTTGGTGCGCTTGGCGAAGGCGCGCTTGGCAATTATGTCATCAGGAACATTGCCGCAAGAACTGGTATGTTGAAGCCCTGTTGTGGTATATATGATTTTGATTTCCGGTTCCGATTCTCAAGCCAGTTCAGTGATTGTATAAGAGAGCGTCTTTATGATGAGCCCCTTTCATTCCCCGCGTCTCAGTGCAGGATCTCTTCGTGGTTTCTAGCGGGGCACGTGTGAGGTATTTCCACGCTGTTTCAGGTCATCCGAAAACCCAGACTCCGCCGCACTGGACTCCTCTGATGGCGAAAGCGAAGAAGAGGAGGAAGAAGACGAAGAGGGTGGGTCCTCTTCGGATGAAGAAGAGAGCGATGAGGGCGCTGAAAGCGGCGATTCCGAGCCGGGGTCTGACGCTGATTCCGGCGTGGAAGGTGAAGATAGCGACGACGACTCTCCTGGTGACGATGGATTCGCAGAAGACAATGCGTCGGACGATGGTGCGGCTAAAGTAGAAGCCAACTTCACAAAACAGAAACGCGAAAGAAAGAGCGACGTCAGCGAAGGAACCACGCTGTTCATTAAAAACATGTCATTCGACACGGACAAGGACACACTGAAGGAGTTGTTTTCTCAGTTTGGTCGCGTGAAATACGCACTCATCTGCATCGATCCTCTGACGGAGCACCCGCGTGGAACAGCCTTCGTACAATTCAAGGTATGGACGGCCTGCGGGGCTGTGGACAGACCGCAGTGAAGGGATGGCCTGGCTATTCTTGCTTCTCGGCAAGTGTCATCGTTTTCCAACATATAGCTGGGCGTTGGATTGGGATGTAGCTGTACGATGAACGCTTGCCCACCCCAGTTGCCGGCTGCAGAGCTGTAAAGGAGAGCTGAAAAGCGCAGATATTTGTCGGGCGGGTCGTCGCGGCATCTTCACTCCCGTGTACACCTCGGGGTAGTTTGTTAGACAGCTAGGATGTGACCACTGTCCAGTTGGACACACAGTATAACCACCACCGGTCCTGCCCCGGCACCGGCACCGGCCTCTGAGCCGCCTCGGGCCGCTGACGTGTGTGCGGCGTCCGCCGGGCTCACCACCTGTATAACCACCGCCGGTCCTGCCCCGCACCGGCACCGGCCTCTGAGCCGCCTCGGGCCGCTGACGTGTGTGCGGCGTCCGCCGGGCTCACCACCCGTATAACCACCGCCGGTCCTGCCCCGCACCGCCCCGGCACCGGCACCGGCCCCTGAGCCGCCTCGGGCCGCTGACGTGTGTGCGGCGTCCGCCGGGCTCACCACCTGTATAACCACCGCCGGTCCTGCACCGCCCCGCCCCGGCACCGGCCTCTGAGTCGCCTCGGGCCGCTGACGTGTGTGCGGCGTCTGCCGGGCTCACCACCTGTATAGCCACCATCGGTCCTGCACCGCCCCGCCCCGGCACCGGCCTCTGAGCCGCCTCGGGCCGCTGACGTGTGTGCGGCGTCCGCCGGGCTCACCGTCCGCCGTCTGCAGAGCGGCGCGGAGGCGGAGGCGGCGCTGGCTGCGGCTGCCGACCCCGATAACACCGCCCGCTTCACGCTGGACGACCGGCGCATCGAGGTGCTGCCGGCCGTCGATCGACGCGAGCTGCAGCAGCGCCGTCAGCTCGACAAGGGGCGCGCCGTGCAGGGCAAGGACAGGCGCAACCTCTACCTGGCGCGCGAGGGACGTAAGTAGACCGGGGTGTGTCGCACGTGCTTCTCCTGGTGTACGCGGCGTGGCGGATTTTGCGCGTGTTCTATCGTTACCAGGATGTGTCGTGCGAGGTGGTCAGCTCAGCATCAGGAAATAGGGCGCAAATTTTGCCGTGCTTTTTGGGATTTGTGGTTCAAGTAGCGCACCCATCGATCTAGTTCGAATGCGTTTATGCGAGTGCGAGTATGACGCAAGACGAATCGTGTTGGTCTTATAGTACAAGAATAGCCCGAGAAGTGACTGGCCAGTTGACAAGCAATCCATACAAGCTGCAGTCCACTGCTTGGAAGCTTATTGGCCTCGCTAGTATAAGGATAATGTGAATATTTAACAGCGCTTCGGCTGCTTGTCCCACTGGTAGTCAGTGACACAGTCTAAACATGGTGCATACTGTTACTAACTGTCAATGCATCTCTCTAAACATCTGGACATTGAACTTCTCCGTTGGGAGCGTGATCAGCGCGTTCGCCATGTGCCGACCGGCATCGATAGCTGTCGTGTGGACGCCTCCCAGCGCTCGCTGCCGTCCCCCAGTGGTGCGCGAGGGCAGCCGGGCCGCCGAGGGCGTCTCCAGGGCCGACCTCAACAAGCGGATCGGCCTCGAGAAGTGGAAGACCAAGATGCTGAAGAACCTCAACATGTTCGTGTCGACTGTGCGCCTGTGCGTGCACAACGTGCCGGCGGACGTGGACGACGCGAAGCTGCGCCAGATCTTCCAGAGCGGCGCGCCGGCCGGCGCTCAGATCACAGAGGTGCGGCCGTCGCGCCGGGCGCGGCCGGCCGCATGCCGGCGGCGGCCGTACACTGCTGAGGGGTGGCCCGGCTCGTCGTGCGCGGCTTAGGTGGCTGCAAATGTCGCACGATTCGCTTTGCATTTGGTGTGTTGTGGCAGGCAGCTGGTTTAGTGTAACGCACTACTGACACACAACAGGCAGTGCAGCAAGCACTAATCAAGCGATGATTGACTCGTTTGTGAGGTAAATTAAATATCCTATGCCCATGTCAATACAGTTACCAACGCAAAATCCTGAGGGGGCTGCAGGGAGAAATGCACCGACTTTTCGGCCCAAGTTGTGTATCATAACATAACATAAGTTGGCGATTTAATCTTCATTGCATTAATTTTGATCATGCTCAAAAACGTTATCTTTTTTGTTTTGTTTTGTTTTTTTGGAAGAGCTGTCGTTTGGTTTTATTGACCGCTGTATGATGCGATGCTGCTTTACAGTCAGAAGTTAACGTAAGTATGTTACATATTTTGCTGGTACCGTAATGTTCGGGGTTGGCAAACAGTGTGAAGCAAGACTGCATTCCCTGGCACGGATTGCTCGCTAGCGGGCGCCAGTTGATTGTTTGCCGTCGCCAGTGAATTGGCGACTGCTCTTCAGTAAGAGGGCGCCCTCTCTGGCAGGCTCGTGTGATGCGAGACAGGAGGGACGTGACCTCCCACCCCCGGGGTCAGTCCAAGGAGTACGGCTTCGTCACCTTCGCAGAGCACGAGCAGTCGCTGGCGGCGCTGCGCAACATCAACAATAACCCGGAGATATTCACGCAAAACAGGGTACGTTTCCTCGCTCCTGTGACGCTGGGTCTCTGCACTGGTATCACTCTGGACGGCGATGATGCGTTAGTGAACACGTGGAGGACCGCCCACTGCCGGGAGCCGACCCAGGTCCAAGCTACCGGCACTGGGGAGATTTCGTTTGCACAATCATCCGCCCAGTTTAATGCGTAATCGCATAAGTAGACGACTGTCTTCTCAGCAGCGATATGATCAGGCCGTTGACTGTTTGTCTCGATGTTTGCTGCTAAGTTCACCTGGCATTTGCCGGGACTCCGAGGACCAGCCGGAGAACAGAGGTGCGCGTGTCACTGATGAGTCCGATGGACCGCTGGCTGCCTGCGCGCTAGGTCTGCTCGCCGTGGTCCTCCACCAGCCGTGGATCTGGGCCTCGGTCATTGTTGAGTCACGTGTAGTCGAGCGTCTCCTCATGAGCGCGCCCGCGTCGTCGGTCCCTCCTTCCGCACGCGCCCACGGCGTCGGTCCGTCACGTCCGCACACGTCCGCGGCGTCGGCGCCCTCTGTCCGCGCGCGCCCGCGGCGCCGGCCCCTCTGTTCGCGCGCGCCCGTGGCGTCGGCCCCTCACGTTCGCGTGCGCCCTCAGCGTCGGCCCCTCACGTTCTCGCGCTGTTTCAGCGGCCGATCGTCGAGTTCGCCGTGGAGAACCGGACCGCACTGGAGGCGCGCCGGCGCCGCGAGGAGAAGAGTCGCCAGATGAACACGCAGGCGGCGCCGGCGCCGACGGCGGCGGCCGTTGGCGGCAGCAGGCGGGCGCGGGCGGCTGCTGCCGGGCGGACTCGACCCGGGCCCGCTGCCGCCGCCGCTGCGCCCGCCCGCCCCGCACACGCCGGCATGGCCGCCGACCGCGCCAATAAGGCGCTGCCGAAGCTGAAGGAGCGCGCCGGCGCGAGGGAGAACGCCAAGGCCATCACGCGCAAGATGCTGAAGACGGGCGGGCGCGGCCAGCGGCGCGAGCGTGCCGGCCAGAAGCGGGACGTGGTGCAAGATTGGGAGCAGCCGGCCACCGCCGACAAGGTGGGGAGAATCCCACATGGGAAGGGGGGGGGGCTCGACCTGGTGCTTAATTTGATAAGGTTATGATTGAGTGCGAAGTGTAAGAGCAGTGTTAATGTCTCATCATGACGCCGTGATCTTGTTGCAGCATGCATGTCAGTTCAAGGTGTATTCAATCCTCGTCTTTCACCACGCTGTTCTCTCTGTACTTAAGTGGCACCGCTTTTGCCTAGCACTGTATTTGACGCGAAACCTGTCATCCATAATGCTCTACATGTTGTGTAGTGATGGCAGCTCCAGACTCAGCTGTCATAACTATGGCCTTATGTTTCCGCGGATTTGGTTGGCATTTTATCGGGGACCGTCTTCATAAAGGTTATGCTTTTGAAACGTGTGTGATTATTTTAACTGCATCCTTGTCAGAATGCCTCGCTGCCTGCCGTGTTTCATGCATTTCACTGCACCGCTTCCAGAAGAAGAACTCGCGACGCGAGAAGAAGAAGGCGGTGAAGAGTCGTCAGAAGGAGCGGCCGGACGACGTCAAGTTCACCAGCCTGGTGGACAAGTACCGGCAGAAGCTGGCAGCGGCGCCGGCCGCCGGCGCGCGCTGGTTCCAGTGATGTCGCTGGCCGCGTGATGAGGTGGGGAGGGGCGGGGGAGGCGCGTACGTTTGGGTGTGATGAAGTGGCCGGCCACTGTTACTGCGGTGTGGGTTACGTGACGAATGCTGTTGCTGCGTTAATGTCGGGAGCCTGGGCCGAAACTGGCTGCTTGCTCAGGTTTAGGATGACAAATGAAGGCTTGGTGATGATTCGCCCGTATACCTGAGCAATATATGGAGCAAGAAGTCCTCGTTTTACGTGTAGACAGCAGTGAGTAGTATTTTGTCATTGCTTGCATCCGTCCTAAGGTAATTCCCGACTGGTGGACTATCGGGGGCAGGATTCCATTTCAGATGTTCCACCACCGCGGTGCATGATATTTGGTCCAAATGGAAGTGAGCCGGGCTTAGGTTTTAGCGATATGTGTGCAACCGGTCTGATATGATTCCAATATCTTCTACACTCTACTTCGCGCCAGCTGTCACGCTGGACATGCCCATCAGTGCATCGCGAGCCCGCCGTGATGGAAGTGACGTGGTGCATTTTGTCGCGAGAGGGATTCGAAAACCAACAGACAGAGAACATGCGACTTTCTTGCCGCTGTTTCAGTCGGTTTCATTCGGCCATCCGAAATTTGTGTCAGCCATGTAGAGTTGTGGCCGTCGACATTCTTGGCTAATTAGCAAATTCGTTGCGTCACCTGCAAACATGGCTTAACCCCATTTGCTTGTATTTCTGTTTTCAAAAATTCAAAGCTTCAGTCACATCGTACTGCAGGATATTAGCGGAGCAGCTTGTGAAGCTGCTCTGCTGATACCGTCGTCTTCATGGTGTGGTCCTGCGCGAACACATTTCTGACCCCAAGTTTCGTCCCGTTCTACATGGCTTTGTTCGCCGAAACATCGCTTCTCTTCTTCCCATACAACAACTTCAACTTCGGCGGACTGAAGAACCCCGGACTCTGCTTCTCCCACATCCTGGTCCTCGTCTCCATCGCCTACCGGATTTCCGTACGCTTCATCTTGGTCTTGCCGCTGAGTATTCTTGCCTCCTGCGCGCTGACGTCCGCGGTGCAGGACGGCCTTACTCCGCTCGGCCCCGACCTGGCCCTGACCTCTGGCCTATTCCTGCTGCTACTGGGCGTGACCTTCCGTGACCCAGTGGTGACCTCGGTCGCCGTGCTGCCTTGCCTACCGGGCAGTCTGTGGTTCGAGCAGCGCGTTAAGACCGTTGTTCGTTGGAAGCGGTGGGCTGTTTCGCTCCTGGAGAGTGCGGGAAGGCTCGTGTTACGGCTGGTGGAAGATTGTATCACGCTCTTTTTGTACGTGGTGTGTTTTGAATGGCTCGGGGATCTGTGGAGGCTGAGCCAGGCGCTGGGCGCGACACCGAAGCCGAACCCGCTGCGGCCCAACTGCTATCGAAGATTCACGCTCGGCGCCGAGGAGTTCTCGGGCAATTTTTGACGGCACCCGCTCACTCTGGGACCAACCAATCTGCAGAAAAGTACCGAGCTGCAATTTCCCGTTGAAGAAAGTTAACAGGGTGTCCTTGAATATGCACGAAATACACATTTGTTACGACCTTCCGCTACACTTCTCGTGTTCTTGCAATGCGTCGGGATGCTGCTAAGGTGACTGACATTTCACCACGGATCGCGCTGTCGGGGCACCTGAAAGTACAACTTGACGTTACTCTCGTCGAACCCTTCGACCCGCATGGCCACGAAAAAATCTCGAAAGGTGTGAGATGGGAGAGGGCGCATGCTGGACTGGAGTTGAAAGGAGTACACATGGGTGCCCCGGAGGCTCGTGCAACCGCATGTCTTCCGTGCCAGCTGTCAGGCACTCAGCCAGCAGCGGGAGCTGAGGTCGGTCACTGCACACAGCCCATGACTGCTGGATGGTCCTGGAACGGGACGTAATGAGAGCATGGGTTAGATCGTGTGATCATGTGCATAGTAAATGTGCAGAGGTGGAAATACTGAGACGGACCTTCTCCAACGGCTACGAGGGCCCGCCTAACATTTGGCTTTAGACCTACGCAGCGGCCAGTGCCAGAAGGTTTGAACGTACCGAGCGCTGGGCAATAACGGTTTTCAGCTGACATTGATGCCTTATAGAGACACCTCGGGGAGGGTGACATGATGACGGATGAGGGATCGCAAAAGTTCTGAGAAGGCGGCCAGCTCGTCCAGCCCATCTCACCTCGTTGGCGGCGCAGTTCGACGCCGCGATCACAGATGGCGGGCCGGGCGCGCCCGTTTGTTTGCGATGCGCGGCGGCGGGGGTGGTAATTTGGACGCTGACCAGGAGGTGGCGTCGGCGGCGCGGTGCCAACTGTTCCGCCGCTGCGTGGCAGCACCGTCGCCCGGACGTGCCGGGCACCCGTCGACTGCCGATCGGGGCTCGCCGTCGGACGCGGCGCGGCGACTTCTGCTGCCGGCGGCGTGACTTCTCCTGCCGGCGGACGGGCGCCTGCTGCCGGCGCTCCGCCTGCAGCCCTGGCCTTGGCACGATACCAGGTAATTGTAACCAGCGCAATGTTCGGGGGTGGCCGTCGACCGCACATGGTTGCGCCGGTGTATTTTCAGCCGACCAAATGCCAGTGGTGTGAAATTATGCTAAGTCAGTTGCATGATTGTAGAATCGGGCTCGTTCAACTCGAATTTCCCACGTCGGACTATTTAGATTTGTATGATGGTACTAGAATGTAATTAGCTTTAGAACGCCCGTCTTAATATCACCCGTTTTTCCTGATTTCGATTAAATGGAATGGTGCATGTCTCCGTTAATAAAAAAACATTTGATATGACGTGTGCGAAGACCGGCATGCAGAGGCGGCTCATCGCCATTCGCCTGTGACCGGTTCTTGTCGGCGTTCTCATGTAATACGACGTGCCGTCCTGTATTCGCAGCGTTGTATCAAGCTGCAGCTATGGCCGCGAGTCCTGCTTGGAGCGACGCTGACATGTAACGCGTGCTCAGCATTCCTGCGCTGATCATAACGTGACGTCCGTTTGCCCCTCCCCCGTGCATTGCGACAAACACGGAACATTAACGCGTCCTAACATAGAAATAGCGGAAAGTTGGTAGATAGTCGCCTGGTTTGCCTGCCAGTCCTATACCAATGATTGCATTATTACTCAGTGCTGTCATGCTGTCATTCACAAATTATGCCATTCAACTAACATCATATGTTTCGACAATCACGCTGCCATTTGTATTCGTAATGTTGTCATTGGCAGGTCTGTTTCTGAGATCACTATTCAGGTCAGCTTCTATCTCGGCTATCGCCTTGACAGCCGTGAACTGGCCATTGATTTTGTATGTGCAGCAGCCACGCATTATGACGTTTCATAACTGCCCGGCGACTGATCAGTCAATCTTAAGCATACCGGGTGGTGTCAAAGCGGACTCAGAGAACCGCAAGTGGGATTTATCAAGCGGCTTACTAAGTAACACGTGTTATGTCTACGGCCCCAAGATGTGCCTTAGGTTTATGTAGAAGAGAGTCAGGTGGTGTGTGAGAAGTCGCATATGCCGTATGCTGCCACACACCACTGTGTCGGCATTGGAGCTGGATGGCACGTCTTTGGCAGAAGGGTCCAGGAAATACCTGGATTCCTATTTCAATCCCCTTCTTACCTGCAGATAATTTTGCAGATGCGTTATCCGTCTTGAACATTTCTCCGGTCTACTGTTCTTGACCGTGTTCTCTAATGTCGTATTCCGTACAGCTTTTACTTTTCCGCCTGCTCGAGCCGTACTCGCGGACGGTGTTCTCCCCCCCCCCCCCCCTCCCTCCCTTCCGCCAGCCAAGCTGCCGTATGACCTTAGTACAGGGTTCGGTCTGGTTAGAAGTCCGTCATGGTAGCCCACATCGCCGTCCGTATATGTTTGTAATGAGATCGTAATGTATTGGGCAGTTATTTTACGGTGTGCATGACCTCTGCTCATGGTCGCGGCAGTCCGCTCGAGTCGATTATAACACTAGAACCGAGTCACAACTTTCTGAAAGCTACCTGAAAGTGCGAAAAGACGCTTTTTTGCCGAGACGTAGGCAAAATGGTGTCGCTTTCACCCTAACCGACACTAAGAACATCCCTGGTTGAAACTAAACTAAATTCCGCAAATTCAGGACTGAGGGGGGGGGGGGGGCAAGCGTACGGCCCTGAAGAAAACTTGAACCAATCCGATGTCACACAAGACCCCCTTCTGCAGTTTTGTGAAGATGTTTTATGAACGTCCTTGCGGGGCGTAAGCGAGTCTGTCCGCATTCCAAGATACGTCTCCATAAACCATGTAAAGTTGAGTGATGGATGCCATCGGCATCTGGCCCAGTGCCGCGCTTGACTACGCTACCAAACAACGTGCACGAAACACGACCCACATAATGTAACCTGTCACCAATCCGGGCACTCAGATGGCCAAACTCACTACCGCGTGGCCGTCAGATGAGAGCGGCATTGCACTGTCACTGTCATCCAGTCGTTACCGATGACCCCGCGCGGTGACGCCCCCAGCCCTGGCGCGGAGGGAGGCGGCGTATGTCCGCCGCCTGCCTGAACTGGGCGGCTTTTTGGAAAGGGCGGTGCTGTTGTTGGCGGGTCTGTCGTGTACTCAGCTCTGCGGTGTGGACCGGGGCCAGCAGTGACCTCATCTGGTGACTGACTGCCGTGCTCATGTGGCCACTGCCCTTCTGGTGACGGCTGCAGCCCCTGATCTCCACCCCCTGACCCCGACCCCTGGTCTCCCTCTGCTGATGGCGCCGGCCTGTGTGATCGGGGATGTCTCCAATGGCACACCCCCGAGAATGACCGGGTAGGTGCGAATGCGCTGAACCCAGCGTTGGAGCCCTCTCTCCCTGGGAGGAGAGCCTTCAGAACTTTCCCGCGTCGGAGAACGCTCGGAACGTCGCGGGGCGGTCGTCACAAAAGTTCGCAACAGACAACGCACGCAGGGGCGCGCAGCACGCGAGCTTGACGTGCCCTCGAGACGCGCCCTTGCGCCCCGCCCGCGCGGTGCGTGCCCGCCGGCCGTGCCGCGCTGGGGCGGTTCGCCGAGCGCGGCCGACCTCTGCGTCGTGGCTGCCGCCGGCCGCCCGCCCGCCCAAGAATGCGGCTAGCTGGCCGCCGTCCAAGCGTAATAAGACGACGTGGCAGCCGGCGGCGGCGTCGGCGGCCGTCGCGCCGACCGGCGTCTTTGTCGGGCTTGCGCGGCGCGGCGCCCGCACGATGCGCCTCCGGGCGCGCTGCAGCGCGCGTCAGGGGCGCACGCAGCGCCGGGGTCAGGGGAGGTTCGGCCAGTGCTGCAGCGTGTCGATGGGAGAGCGCGCTGGCGTGCGTTCATGGATGGCCCTTCTCGTCTCCGTAGCTGACACCGGCAGCAGCTGTGGGGTACGTCCGGCCGGGTCAAAGGCGGCCTGCACGCTGGACGTTGTCAGGTCGGCTCCGAGAGTCCCCGTGCGGGCGGCCACGCCGCCCCCGCAGTGGGGAACAGATTCCAACACGACGTCAGTTTCCAAGTTCGAAGGTCGCGTCAGAATTCGCGCATGTGACCACGTGACCACGCCTCGGCCAGCGATACACGAGCTGTCCATTTGAGTGGCAGCGCCGCCGAGCGTCGTCGCGGTCCACATTCCATGCCATGCACGTAACTCCTGACGGGACTTCGGTCGCACCTCCGTCTCATGCATTGAGCGTGCTGAACACGCTGACTGATCGGGGCCGCCGCAAGATTCGGTCATGGTCCCCGTTTCGGCATCCGCCTTGGCTGCGACTCCTCGCGCTGAGAGAGCGGCATTATCCCCGCGTCTGTCTGCTAATCAGTCGAGATGCGGAGCTCGATCGCTGCCAAGCGTCAGGGCCGCACTACTGGCTCGTTTCCATTGGACGCTAACAAAAGCTAGACATGCTCTCATTCATCGGACTGATCAAAGCCTGCTCCACGCGCGCTGACTGACGACAAAATGCTGCTCCCAGCTGTTCCCAGTTTACTCTGATTTCACCACGGGCCAGTCCCGCTTTCTGGATTGGTTCTTAGAGTGTGCTGTACCTGCATGCTTGATGTTGACAGTGAGTGCTTGTTCAAAACCGACACCGTATCCTGCCTAGATGCGCTGTTTCTCGCCTGCTACCAGCAAAGTTCGCACGGCTCCAGCACCGGCTCAAGCCGACTATGGGTCCAGTATAGGCCGATATTTTCTGTCATCGGCAGGGCTGTGATTGCTCAGACCAGTCACTGCTGCAGCACAGCTTCATTACCGGCTGTCAGCATCGCATCATCGGCGCCTGTCACCGCTTCATTACCCGCCGTCGGTACCGTGGCACCGGCGTCTTTCATGTACAATGAAAAAGTTTTCTGCTAAAATCTTTACGCGAAAAGCCAAGCTTTTCGACTGCTGCTTCGCTTAGCGGTCCTTGACCCTTGCGGCGATGAGCGCAGAGATCGCACAGTGTTCGCTGCTCCTGAATCTCGACACATAATCGTCGCCTGGATCGCACTATGATCCCAAATGTTTGTTCTGGTGATCGTCATATCGTCAGGTTTTAAACCAGAGCTGTCTGTTTCAGGATGTCCATATTTGTGGATGAAAGCCTCCCACTTCAAGGTAAATTCGTCATGGTCTGATTGGTTTGTTTCCATTCCGTTTCAGTGCTCCACTCAATGCTCCTGGACGATAAATCCCGTAAAATGGTGTGATGTTCGTAGCTTTTTATCGATGTTGATCAAGTTGTTCGTAGCGTGTAACATTCCGGTACCGAGGTCGCACAGGGACCATTACAACATCGGCCCCGCCAATCACGATCAGCATGTCTTCACAGCACACGCTTCGCTTCTACATGTTTTGCACCGTCCCTTGTGATGTGCGAGCCACGAACAGAGAATCTCTGTCAGCCTCTGGCGTCCGGCCAGGGGCGGCGGCAGCGATCCTCAGTTAACGGCCGCTAACGTCGCGCATCGCTTCCAGAGCTGGCCCTTCCGTTTCCACCGCGAGACGTGAAGGTGCGCCGAAATGCGGAGGTCCGGGAGATGTATACGATGGGAGAGGAGATCGGCAGGTGGGTGGTCTCAGAGGTCTCAGAGGGCATGACGGTGTCAGCTGCCCTCTCCGGGTCCCCGCCTGCCGGTGCCGACCTGCCCCTCCGCCGTGTGATCCTCAGTCTCCTCCGCCGCAGTGTCAGCTGCCTTCTCCAGGTCTCCACCTGCCGGCCTCGATCGGCCCCGCCGCCGCGCGCCCGAGCCCAGCTGGCAGCGCTGCCGACGCCGGCTCGCCCGACATTGGTGCTCCTGCCCTTGGTCGCATTCTGCCGGGCTGTGACAGTTGTGCCGCCCGGCGCCGGGAGCCGCTGCCGGCCTGACCCGGCCGACATCCGCACCGCCGGGCCGGGCGCCGGCGATCCGGGGTCACGGGTCAGGCCCCGCCTATGCGGTGACGGAGCGCGGCTAACGCTGCAGCCCCGGCACGGATGCCGCTGGTTGCCACCGCCTCCCGCGCTGCTCACGGTTGACTGTAGCTGCTGCTGGAACTTTTTGGGTCTGACTGTCGCCATCAGCGGCGCGTGTTGATTTTAGCGGCCTGTAAGTAAACTGTGTCTGCGCTGAGGTGGATCCAGGGCCGCTGCGCCCATTTTGCCGCCGCTCAGCCATTCCCACGCGCCGCCAGGGGCAAGTTCGGCATCGTGTACCGGTGCACGGACAAGACCACCGGCCTCGTGCTGGCCGCCAAGTTTGTGGCGACGCCACGCCGCGACGATAAACGCGACGTGGAGCGTGAGGTGGAGATCATGAACTACCTGCAGCACCCAGGCATCATCCAGATCTACGACGCCTTCGACGGCGGCAAGGAGATGGCGCTCGTCATGGAACTGTGAGCTGGGGGTCGTCTCTTGGGCAGTAGCGGCCGGGGGCGGCAGTCCAAGTCGCGGACACTTCGACGGGCGCCATTTGCCGCCCGGTAGGCTGAGGTGACTTAGAGCGAAATTATTTTTTCTGCGTTGGCGACACGCTCAGTGCGATGGGTTTCATGCATTCCGTGGTCGCTGCCGTGGCATACAGTGTCCTCTATGGCCTGCCTTATTTAATGTGCAACCATGTTACGGAGTACATATTACCCCGGCACCATGTGCGTGTGTCCTCAGGGTGGAGGGTGGCGAGCTGTTCGATCGCGTGATCGAGGACGACTACATCCTCACGGAGAAGGCCTGTGCCATGTTCATGCGCCAGGTGTGTGCCGGCGTCGGCTTCATGCACCAGAAGAACGTGCTCCATCTGGACATGAAGGTCAGTGTGTACGCAGCGGCGTTAACTGACAGGTCAACTGGCACACGGCAGGTCAACTGCCACGTGACAGCTAAAAAAGTGACAGGTCAATCAGCTCGTGACAGGTCAACCGGATCGTGACAGGTCAACCGGATCGTGACAGGTCAACCGGATCGTGACAGGTCAACCGGATCGTGACAGGTCAACCGGATCGTGAAGGTCAACCGGATCGTGACAGGCCTACCCGATCGTGACAGGTCAACCGGATCGTGACAGGTCAACCTGATCGTGACAGGTCAACCGGATCGTGACAGGTCAACCGGATCGTGACAGGTCAACCGGATCGTGACAGGTCAACCGGATCGTGACAGGTCAACCGACATGCAACACATAAAGCAACGTGAGGCAGGCGTCAACGTTGCCCACCCTCGCGCTCCGTTCTCCAGTGAGCCGCGCACCATTGACAGCCATGACCCATCTCGTGCCCCGCCGGCCGAGCCCGCAGCACCACACAGTCCAACACCTGAGGCGCCTGACACCTCCGACCGAACCGCCGCCAGTGGTCGGTGCCCTGGCGTCGGCCGCCCCAGTTTTCGCCGGGCGGCGGCGTGCCTCGGTCGCGGCGGGCGTGCGCGGAACCCCGCCGGCGCCACCCGCTGGCAGGCGCGCGTCGAACCGCGAACGAGAGCTACTCATAATGCGCGCGACGGCGCGCCGCCCGCCGCCGGCTAATAATACCACCGACCGGCGCCACGCGAGGAGCGCGCGGCGCGCACGCGGCGGCCCGGGGCGGGGGTGCTAGCAGTGGCTGACTGGGCGCCGGATGTGTGCGTCCGCGCCGTTGACGGCCAATGCCAGCGCAGCATTTAATGAGAGATCCGCTGACGTTTAGTAGGTCTTAAGTACGCAACATCATAAGTAAGGGTCTCGGATCCTTCAGCCGAGATATTGATGATATTGGCGTTCTGGGGCGCACCAACTAGAATGATCACAGCCAGCATGACCTTCAAACTTCTCACCTTGCAGTGGGTACATCTAAAGTGAAACGCATGAGCCGTACGCCGACGCATGCAGTGGCGTACAAATGCTTACGTAATATGCTATGTGTGAAGAAGCGCTGTTTGAATGCAATGTTTTGTGTCTGTTAGAAGTTGCATTGAGGCATGACAAGTGCTGCCGTGAATGATAGTGTATGCCGGTTTCCACTGCAAGGTCAGCCTGTGACGAACGATATCACAGCACGCATCGGGCTTACGCTGTGCAAGATCTGCAGATCCATTGCAATTCGGTTAGGGATTCTCCTACGTGAATTTGTTATCCACAACTGCTGTCTGTCTTCCCCATCGTTCTCGCGAGCTGCGGAGTCCGCCGGCCACACACAGCTCCAGAGATGTGATGGCCGCCAGGCGCCACCTCTACGGTACCATCAGATGCCCGCAGCCAAGGCTAATCTGACCATTCATCCCCCAGCCGGAGAACATACTCTGTCTGTCCAAGACCGGCAACCGGATCAAGATCATCGACTTTGGCCTGGCGCGCCGGTACGACCCGACCAAGAAGCTGCAGGTGCTGTTCGGCACGCCGGAGTTCGTGGCGCCTGAGGTGGTCAACTTCGACGCCATCGGCTACCCCACGGATATGTGGTCTGTCGGCGTCATCGCTTACGTCCTGTGAGTGCGTCGTCTGGTGTTGGGGACGTGCTTCCGCCCACCGTCAACCCGCCCGCTATGTGACCGCTGATATTTTCTGTCGTTTTTATTTGGACGCATTTGCCACATTACCTCCGCCAACGACCTAAAAGTACCTGGACCCGAAAACCTTCACACTTGTGTTTTTGAGAGGTCTTCGTGCACCTTTCGCAAAGGATCCATCCTCGCACAGCCCCGTCAAAAAGCTCCCGCCGATTGGCGGGGACGCCGCCCGCGCTAACTTTGCTCACATTCCGCTGGCAATTAGCCTATCGGATCGGTAAATAGGAACGCCAAGATGGCCGTCCCGCGTCGCCAGCAGCCGTGTCGGGAGATAGCTGGCGACATCTGGCAGCACACTCCCGCTCGGCCGCTCCGAACGCTCCACGAGCTCGCCATCCGCTGCTTTGGACTTAACTCCTCCCTCGCTGCGGCCAAAACTGCGGCCGCCTCTGAAACGTGCCGGGCCACGCGCTCGCTGCCGTTTCTGTCCTTGTTCAACTAAAAGTGCCTTGGGTGATGTTGGTCACTTTGATTCCAGCCGGCCAGTTTCAAAAATATCCGCATTTTTGACCATGTGTTGTTTTACGGTGGTCTCCTTCACGCTCTGCTCAGTTCAGCTCCGCTCCCTTACGCTCTCCCTCGCGCTCAGTGGAAACTGGCACATCCGTGGGCGTCTCGCGCAGCAGTGAGCTCTTGCTTTAGCGACGAAGTGGTCGCCTCGTGGCTGCCACGCGTCGTCACACTCCCACAAGTCGGTGCTCGGGCCACTGACGTTGAGGCTATTCCACAGGGTGTCGGGTCTCAGTCCGTTCATGGGCGACACGGACTGCGAGACGATGGCCAACGTCACCATCGCCAAGTACGACTTCGACGACGAAGCGTTCGACGATGTGAGCGACGAGTGCAAGGAATTCATCGCCCAGATCCTCATCAAAGACAAGAGGTAACAGTCGGCGGCCTGGGCGCTGAGCGAGGGCGGCTCTGGCACAACGTTCTGCCTTTTTTTAGAGGGCTGGGGGCGGATGTGTTTGCCACACCTCCTGTCAGTGACACTCACTGACTGCCAAAGTGGAGCCCGCTGCCTTATCGTCGGAGACCATGGTCTGATCTACATTTGGCGAGTCGGAATTTGGTGGAAATATGACAGCTCGGGTGTCGAAACGGGTGAGCGAAGTTCGCATCGAGCTCGTGTCAGCTCTTTATCGTCCGGACAGTCTGTCATGTCCGTGCTGTGCTTCGACCCGTGCCATCGCATATGGCCTCTGGCTTCGCATCGGTTTTCGTTCGTTAGATCGACGCTTTTTGTCTCCGAAAGTATTCGGCATGGCGAAAGCGTGGCAGGCCCATGTCCCGCCAATTACAGCCAAATCTGCCGGTGCAGTGGGCCGGATCCGGGCCATAACCTCGGCCGTTGACCGCGCCGTCCTGCCGCAGCAAGCGCCTGACGTCCGAGCAGGCGCTGGCGCACCGCTGGCTCAACATGCGCGACGCGCCGGTGCCCTCCAAGGTGCGCTCGCGCCAGGCGTCGCTGGCCAGCCTGGAGGCGCCGCTCGAGGCAGCCCAGCTCAACCTGACGCAGTTCGTCGGCCGCTGGGTGGATCATCCGGACAGCCCGTACGCCTTCTCAGACAGCAGCGCCGAGCTGGTGCTGTCGCGCGTCGGCTCGGCGGCCTCGGTCGGCCTGTGCTCGCCGTCGGCCTGCGCCTCGCTCACCTCGCCCGAGCTGTCGGACGAGGCCGACTCGAGCAGCGAGGACGAGTCGAGCCGGGGCCTGCTGCGGCCCGAGGCGCGGCCGCGGCCGGCCGAGCACGCGCGCGTCTGCTCGCTGCGCCGCGAGGAATCGCTGAAGCGCGCGCGCGGCCGCCTCGTGCAGCAGGCCAGCAAGGAGGAACACTACATCAGCATCGACGACGTGAAGACGCTCAAGCAGCAGGGCAGTCTGGACGAGATGGTGCTGAAGGTGACGAGCTCGCCGGCCAGCTCGCGGCGGGGCAGCGTGACACAGCCGGTGCCGCGGCTGCTGCAGGAGGCGGCCGCCGACGCGGCGCGCCGCCAGACGCCGTCGCCGCTGGCTGCGCCGCCGCGCCGCGCCGGCTCACCGGGTCGACAGGCCACCGTCTGCGACCGGGTCATGCAGGAGGCGACGACCGCGCTTGCCGACGGCGATACGGATCGGCGGCTGCTGACACCGTCGCCCGAACCCGGTGGCGGCCTGGCGGGTGAGCCCAACGCCCGGCGGCGTCGGTCTGCGGCTGGCAAAGAGCTGACCCCATCACCCCGACGCCTCTCCGGGGCGGCGTCACCGTTGGCGGCCGGGGGCGAGCCCCCACCGAAGTCCAAGAGCCCCTCGCCACGCCCCGCCACCGTTCCGGGTCCAGAGGCCCGACCTCTAGGGTCTTCCGGCTCGAAGCTCTCCATCCCGTCTCGTTCCCGGACGCCCAGCGTGACAGTGACTGGTGCTGCGGCAGAGGCTGCGCCCGGTCTTGCTGGAGAACCAGCCGGCCGTCAGCCGCCGCTGGACAGCGACGCGTCCGGCAAGTCGGCCTCCGATGGGAAGCCGCGTAAGTCGCCGTCCAAATCGCGCTCCCCCAGCGCTGGTCGAAGCCCACAGCCGGCGCAGAAGGGAAGCGACTCTAAACCAACGTCGTCACAAGGCGCACAGGCCGGCAATGACTCCAAACCGGCCGCGTCACAAGCAGCACAGGTCAAAAGCGACTCCAAACCGGTTCCGTCTCCAGCAGAGCAAACTGGAAAAGCCTCCGTCGCGGCAGCCTCGCAGCCGAAACAGAGCGGGGACTCTGCGTCGCTGGAGGCGGCGACTCCGCGGCGGCGCCGGTCTAAGACGCCGACCGTGCCGGAAGCCGCGGGAGGCTCGCTGTCGCCCGAAACGGCAGGCGCAGGGCACCAGCAGACGGACAGTCAGCCATCCAGCGTTGCTGGCGGTCAATCGAGCCCGCTGCTGAGCCCGATCGGTGCTCGCCGACGTCGGACAACCGACGACGGCGAGTCGACGACAGAAAAGGCTAAGCTGGGTGGAGAAAGAACGATCCTCGTTGATGGGCTGTCGGCAGAGAAGGCTTCGCCCGGGCGAGTTAGTCCCAGTCAGAACTTCCTGCTGGAGCCAGTGGTGCCTGGAGCCCCCTCATCTACCTCCACATCGGTGTCGTCTGGGAAGGAGAGTCCCGACCAGCGAGCGGTAAAGACACCGGAAGAGCGTCTTTCCAGCAGCTTCAACTCAATGATCATGAATCTAAAGCCAGTGAAAAGAGGAGCGAATCCTGGTCCGGTGGCGACGTTGGCCGTCAAAGCTCCCGCCCTTGGTTTGGTGCAGTTGCGGAAGGTTCCCTCCTCCAAATCTGACGTTGCACTTTCCAAGACAAGAGCCGAAGGTGAGGCAGCCCAGGTCAAACTCAAGCGCACCAGGCCATCAGATGCCGCACTGAGCAGTCACGGCAGCGCAAAGGAAAGGCCTACGCTGACACGGCAGAAAGCCGAGTGTGACAACGGCGTCAAGGGAAAGAAGCCACCGAAAACGAAAGAGAGAACCGAGGCCAACGACAGCGCGCTGAAGAACAGCGGTGACCAGTCCCCGGCACAACCGTCAAAAAACGGACGGCGGCCCCGCGAGCACGTGATCCAGATTGAGGTTCAGGGCTGCGCGGGGCCGCACGGCGCCGAGGAGCTGGACTGCGCCGGCGCGGAGCGGCCGGGAGCCGGTCTGCGCCGGCTGCGGCAGGCGCTGCGCACTCTCTCGAGCGGCTCGAGCCAGTCGGCGCCGAGCTCACCGTACCAGAGCCGGCGCGGCTCGCCCGAGCGGCGGCCGGCCGGCCTCCTGCTGCGCTCGTGGCACAGCGCCCGCCTGCGCGCCGGCTCGTGGACACGCGGCCCGACGCTGCTCGACTTCGTGGCGGCGCGACTCGAGGAGGCGGCCAGCTGGCACCGCAGCGAGCACGAGCGCTTCCGACGTCTGCTGGCCGAGCGGCGCCCGCTGCCGCTGACGGATAGCCAGCGGCTGCCGCGCGGCCCGCTTCTCTGGGCTCGGCTCGGCTGCTCCGTCACCGACTGACGCCGGACGCGGCGGCGGCGGCGGCGGCGGCGGCGGCGGCGGCGGCGGCGGGGTTCGGGGCTGCCGGCCGGAGCGAGAAGGCGTCCTCCGCTTGCGCTTCTAAGAAGTCCCGGCGGCGAGGTGAGCAGACGAGCGTCGCTCACCATGCATGCTTCGGGATTTCACACCATACACACGTGGAGCTTCGCGACAGGCAAGATCAACTGAGCGTTGTTTGTTTTGGCCGGGGGAGTCCTGCGAACGGCTCGCGCGCCCCGCCGCCGGAGCTATTCCAAGGACCGATAGGCGTTTTTGATGACATCAGCGAACGCTCTATCACCTGCGACTGCTGGATGCATGCCGCGCAGTAAGATGCTGATGCAGAAACACAAGATCAGTGGAGGTTCCGCCTCACTCGCAGCCGCTGTCAGAAACTGCTCCACGACAAAGGCTTCCGCGTGATATACCTGACTGGGCTTCCCTCGATGCACGACTGTCGCCAGCAGTCCGTGGCCATGCGGAGAGGCGGTGGTGCAGACTCCCGGCTTGTTTGCATATCATTGGTGCTGTTTTGAAGTGTCGATGTTTGTGCTGTATTTGAATAAGGCCGGCCGCTGAGCGTCTACGGTCACCGAAGCCCGTTTGCATCAGATGGGATCGGTGCTTCTGGGGGTTGACGTGGGCAGCTTGGTATGGCACGCATCGATCCGGTATTTTCTTGCTGAGATGAGACGTGCGTGCGTGTTGATGTTGAGCCTGTTTTTCTGATTAATATATGAAATCCAATTAACAGTTGACTTTTTTAATTCCCTTCGAGTCTGCAGCTTCTTTGATATAACACCGTGACGACAGATGTAGGCTCGCTGCTCATTCGGAGTGTCCGTGACAAGATCACAGGCGCATTTGTAGCGGGCGCCGAAATCCATGACTTCCATGCATACATATTGGACAAAACCTACCAGCGCTCTCGGAAACGCCACCAGCATTGCAGGAATGTATTGCCGTCAGTTGACAATGGCCATGCGCCAGCGTAACCCACCAACGTCACACAGTGAAACGGGCGCCGGCTCCAGCAGTACCGCAGCGCTGGCGTCGAGAAGCAGTCATTCCGCGGCAACCCCGAAGGACTCAGGCAGGTAAAACTAACTACGGATAGCGGCCACCGCAGCCATGCATACATGAGTTCGCACGGCAGCGGAGAGGCGGGAGCGGCTCGCGCGAAGCCGTAATAACACATGCCGGCGTTCAAAACGCGAACATCCTGGCGAAAATCTCATTTCGCACTACAAACAGCAGTTGCCTTTCCTTTTGATTGGCTTCCGACGCGCAGGTTGTAACAAAGTATAAAATGGCCCGGTTCTCCGTCACATAAAAACTGCAACGGGCCCATGTGCGCACATCCCACCACAAGAGTCGCCGGCGAAACACAGATGGCGGCAGCACCTCGCGCTGTGCAAGATCCACCTAGCAGGCCTCGTGACCTGGCAGGTCGCCTAGCCTCACTAGTCCCGCAGCCAGCACCCGCGTGGAGCCCTGATCCCCCCCCCCCACACACAGACATACACACATGAGCGTCATAGAACCCCGTGTCTCGGCCTGCGCGCGGGCCGCCAGCATTAAGCGCCTGAGCACGGGCCGGCAAACCAGCTGACCGTCTCCTGGAGCCGGCGGCGCACCAGCGCGGCTCGCACGGTGCGGCCCGTCCCCAGAGCTGCCCGAGCGGCGGCAGGCGGCGTCCGCTCGGAGGGCGACCGGCGGCCCGGCCTGGCTGGACGGCAGCGCGGTTTTAGCCCGGCTGGACGGCAGCACGGCTCGGCCCGGCTGGACGGCAGCCCGGCTCTCACTGCACGCTGACGTGCACGAAGAGCGAGGCCGGGCTCAGCGAGTTACCCTCCACGTCCTCCAGAGGGACGTAACGGTACCCTGCCGGACACGGAACATCTCATTCCGGGCCAGTTTGCCGCGCCGAAGCAGCTTCGTGCAGCTGAGACGCATCCATACACGAGATTGAAGGAACGCAAGCCGGTTACAGCAGAACGCAACGTTTCCGTACGGCATCGTCAAAAGCCATTTGGAATGAATGGCGAGCCAAAATGTGCAGCGTTCATAGAACAGGCGACGGCACCAAGTCAGTACCAGCTCGAGCTAGCACAGAACAACGCGCCAAGCTCAAATGACCGTCAGCACGTCACGTCGTGGCAACAGCACGACCCCCACTCCAAACCAAACCAAACCACAGCACCGAAACCGGAGCGCGAGGTCTGCCGAGGAGGAGGATCGGGCGAATCCTCCTCATACCCCTGCCCCTGCCCACATTCCTGTCCTCCCTTTACACCTGTCCCTGTCCTATCCCGCCCTGTCCTGTCCTGTCCTGTCCCGTCCCGTCCCGTCCTGTCCTGTCCTGTCCTGTCCTGTCCTGTCCTGTCCTGTCCTGTCCTGTCCTGTCCTGTCCTGTCCTGTCCTGTCCTGTCCCGTCCTGTCCTGTCCTGTCTTGTCCTGTCCTGCTCTGCTCCGCTCTGCCCGGGTTCGACGCTCACCGGGCATCAGATCGTCGAAGTGCATGCAGTAGTGACCGAGCACGTAGTTGGAGCCGGTGGTGCTGTGGTCACGCACCACCAGCTCCAGCAGGCAGAAGTCCGGCATGTGCACCGGGATCGTCAGCTGCTCCTCCCACACCGGGTTAAAGCCTGCCGAGCGCGGCCGTGTCGTCAGCGGGCCGGAGGGGGCGGGGGGGGGGGGCACGCCACGGGGTCACAGCGCCAGTCTCCGTGGCCTCCGGAGCACCTACCTGGCGCTACGCACTGACCGAGCACAGACGTAGAGAAATGGTGATATCACCCGATGCGCGGTGTGCGAGTAAAACAACGAACAACGCAGGCACGCAGCTTTTCGCACATCGGAGGCATTTTCCCTCATGTTGTTTTCTCCTTGCGTGATCTAACGTTCGTCTCTCGTGGGACACCAAACCGCCTGCCACTTCAGCTAGCATAGGAGAGGGGGGGGGGGGAGCACTGTGCACCCACCGTTGTTCTTGACGACGTCCGTCTTGAACTTGCCCTCGTCGGCCGGGTGGCCGGTGACGTAGACGCAGACGTAGGGGTCGATGATGTCGTACAGGCTGGAGCCGGGCGGCTTGGGGATGCAGGAGCCGCTGATGATGCGCAGCTGCAGGGTCCGGCGGAACCTGCCGACCCGTGTGACGTCACGCCCTGAGGTCGGCCAGGGTCACGCCCCGAAATTTGCGTCGGTCATGACTCGTAACAGGCGTGAGGCGTGGCTTGAGCCCCGTGGAGGGCGGCCCGAGATTGGCTAGAATGTCGTCGGCAAGTGAGGATATGAGTCGGGGAATATATCATCCCGCTACACAGCCCACCGGTTCCTTGGAGATATGATAAAAAAGTCGAAGGATGCCGTAGTTCCCCAGCTGTCGACTGGGTCTTGACGAGCGACCAGGTCAATGTTAAATCGGTTGGCAGTGGAATAAGGCGTCTCTTAGGATCCGAGGTGGGAGAGGCGTATGTATGTATGTATGTATGTATATATGTATGTATGTATGTATGTATGTATGTATGTATGTATGTATGTATGTATGTATGTATGTATGTATGTATGCATGCATGCATGTATGTATGTATGTATGTATGCATGTATGTAAGTATGTATGTATGTATATATATTTACATATATATATATATATATATATATCGTGAGAGGTGGAAGAATCTAGCTACGCTCAGGATAGCTCTACATCATTTCTCCCAAGAACATCGACATCGGATGGTAGCGTGATGCAGACGACGGTCAATATTTGCGCACGAAGTGGCAGATAGCTCAAAACTCAGCACAAATAATCGACGGCAGAGACACCAATTGGGTCTGTCCACATATTCACAGGCGTTTGCCGACCTGACAGTGCTCAAGCAGACAGCTGTCACTATACAACGAAGCGCAAGCGAAAAGCGCACGGAACAACCACCACCAAAACGTGCGAGGACGACGAACCACGGCGCACAATCGCGCAAGTCAAAAGATCACACGAGACAGGACCTCCGGCTTGCAAGCGATGCCTTTGGGCAAAACAAACCATGCCGCATATGCTGCATCCACACACAGAAGCCAACGAGCTTATCACGACCAGACACCACCAAAAGGAAGCCAACGGAAGCGCATGCACCCGGACAACGCGGGGCGCGGAGCGCGGACCGCGGGACGAGGCGCCAGGCACATCTCGTGACCGGCAGGCACAGGGGCAACGTGGAATGCGATACGAGGGCAGAGGTCTGTCAACGTAGCGGTACGGTGTCGAGTGTGATACAGGACAAAGAAGCCTACGAAAACAACAGGACGCTACGGGACGGCACTTGGCACACGGAGCGCGTGCAGGACGAGGACTGACCCGGACAGGGGGAGGTACCAGGCGCCGGGCGTGGTTTGGATCCAGGGCCGGATGGTCAGCGTGAGGAAGGAGAGGCAGCCGCACAAGGCTCGGTGCACGTACGACTGCCGGGGAGGCAGAGGCGGCGGCGACGGCGACGGCGACGGCGACGGCGGTCGCGGCGGCGTCGGCGGTCTTCCCACCGACCGCTCCTCCAAAACACTGCCGACGGTGGGGCCGGCGCCCGCAAGTTAGGCCACTAGTGCGGTAGTGCCAGGACATTGTTCGCAAGGTATGCACCAAACAGGCATGGCGCGACGCCTGGGCATCGCGTGAGAGCCGTACCGTACGACCATCAATGACATTAAATACAATGTACGGACTGTTTCTCACCTTTCTGCCTCACGTGCTGGCAAATTCTTAGCTTTATTAAGGGCATTACCATCACACGCCCAGTTCAATACTGCTGATGACGCAACAGCTCAGAGTGATAATAACTGGCATGAAATGGTCCCGGAATACCCGTGAACAGACAAGCAACCATACTAAAAGGCTTAGCCATTTAAAGCAGAGATCACTATCGGAGTATCTCAACGATGAAACTCCCGCCCCGATCTCTAACCAAAAGTCTACTTTTTACGGTAGCTTTTTAAGTTTGTTTGCTTACCAACAACTTCCGGCACAAGAAAGGTCAATAATTATCATTGTGTAGGCATCTTTAAGGGCAACCGCATAAAAATTCCGAGAAACGTGCGTAACGCCTTTCTTGATCACATCAATCCCAAATCCGGTTGGAACGGCCTGCGACACCACGGAGACCGTTGTTTCCACGACCGCGCCCACTTCACCGTCGCACCACGTCCAGCCGAGACCAACACCGCTAGCCAGCCTGGACCCCCAGGCAGATACCCGAGCACACCTCCACCACGACCCGTCACATCCGGTCCGGCAGCGGCAGCGGCAGCCGCAGTCGCAGCGGCAGCGGCAGCCGCAGCCGCAGCGGACGGCGCGTACTCACATGTCGCCGGGGCTGGCGGTCGGGTCGAACCAGTCAGGGGAGCGCAGCACGGCCGGCTTCAGCACGAACCCGCAGCCGCCGTTGCGTCGGAACATGCCCTGGTTGTAGCTGGTCGACTTGCCCGGCGACTGGTAGTTGAGAGCCACTGCCGAGGGACGGCCGGGCGCCGTCAGCAGCGTCGCGCACGACGCAGGCGACGCGGGGAGCGGCGGCGCGGGCCGTAGGATAGCGCGGGGCATCAGCTCACGCGACCACGCAGCCACCCCTACAGACCATTGGACTTCTAGCCTTACGTAAACATAACACTGTGTTGCAGCAGTTTGGAAGATAAAGCTGTGTGTAAGACATGAAATTCACACGTTTAAGCACAACTTCTGTGTGACACGTATCATTGCTACTCACGCAGTGATGTACGCTGTCTCTGCTTTAAGTTCACAGAAACGTTAGCACCAAGGGGAATTCTGCTGAGAGAACAGACAGGTGGCCACGGCGTCGCAACCACAGCAAGGCATGCCGTTGGAGGCGGCCACCCACCGATCTGACAGCCGGTGTTCCAGAAGGGCACCGGGTTCAGGTTGCTGGAGTTCTGCCGCTTGCCGCTCGGGTAGATACGGCTCAGCTGACGTTTGTTGTACTCGACCAGCGCCGCCGCCTGCTGATCCACGAACCTGTCGGGACGACGAGCGTATACAGCAGGCGAAGCTGTGGTCGTCGCCGCACGTAACTGTGAAGGCTGTGGGAGTGCGATCGCGGAGGAGGGGCCGATACAAAATGGAAGGAGCGCATCCGTGGTAAAGAGTCTGCGAGGGTGGAGAAGGGATTGAGAACAGGTGTTCAGCGCTGGAGCGTCGCAGCCGCCACCCGTGGACCACGCCCCGTGGCCTGCGCCACTGCCCAGTATCTGGATCGCGTGTGATTCGCAACAACTTGGCCACGACTCCACGGCCCGTACACAAAGACGACTCTCACTCGCCCACGCCAGAGCCGCCAGAACGCATCTGACTGAACGGCTCTCAGACAATCAGCAGGTCACGACTTGAGCCGGATCGCGACGAACGCACCAGTCCCAGATCCATCACCGCGTAAGGCCCACAGCCCGCGACCCGCGGGGCCGCTGCCCAACCCGAAAACAACTGAAATACTCCACCGATAATGGACTCCTGCATCGCGCGGCGGTAGCCGCCCCGGCTGCTACAGAGGACCATGTGCGCCCGTGTGTCGCTCTCACCCAAGGGCCTTGCTCTCGCCGAAAGAGCTCATCGTCCACCACAGGTCGGCCGCCAGCGAGGCGTCGAACGAGTGGAAGTGCACCGCCTTGATGTAGTTCACGAGCGAGGAGAGCACCGGCGCTATCATCTTCTTCTTCTTGCCCTGCGGGGAGTTCGAGCTGTGACGTTGGAGTCGGTGGCTATGCCCGGATAGCCGACAGCGGAAAACGCCAGCAATCGCAACCACGGCCACAACTTGCAGCGAAAAATTCCGGAGGGGGGGGGGGGGCGCCTGCCATTTTCGTACAACCCAACGATACTACATGCGCACCGATCACCACGACTGACGACCAGCCAAACCCAGCTGGTAAACAAAGTTGCAGTGCGTGCCGGTCACCAAGCCCTGTGTACATCCGGGCGCATCCTTCTTCGCTGCACTGTTGTGTGTCTACGCCGTCAGGCGGATTGCCCGGTGAGGCGGCGGCGGTACCTACCTTGACGTGGTGGTGACGCTGCTGCTGCTCTTTCCCGACCGCCTCGTCCTCGGGCGCGCTGCAGTCCGACTCGGAGTCGTCCACGGTGCAGGCCTCGTCCTGCTCCTGCGCCGGCGGCGGCGGTTTGCCGTCGATCAGCTCGCCCACCTGGGGAACGCAAGTCACGTGGCTGGGAATCCGATGTCAACACGGAGAGCACGCCGCAAGGATGTTGCAGACGTGTCGACGACAGGGACGTGGCTCACTTAATGGGTTCCACATGTTTAGGGATCCAGTGTCTTGACAGCCAAGCCATTCGCTGCGGGGCGACAAAACCAGGGCGACAACACATGACAACCGGCATAACGAAGCCAGAACACGGAGCATCACCAGTGACATCCAGCCCGCTCCTCGGCCTGGTTTGGGTTAGTCTGGTGGGATTGAGTCCTCCGGGCCGCTGCTGACAGTTGCAATTACGGAGAGAGTGAGAGAGGAAGACAGAGAAGTGAGAGGGTGCTGTGGTCATCACGTGACTATCGCGGCGCCCAGTTTCGGTTCAACGGACGGTGTTGCCAGCCGGAGCGGCAAAACAGCCAACTCATGGCTGACGACCGCAGCACACGTTCGGCAAGAACAGGCGCCACCAAGATCCGTGGTGGGGCGGTAGACCTGGGTAGGTGGAGTCACTCGCCGGCCTCCAGAACTGGCGTCACCGAGCCCCCATGAGCTGTACCTTCTGCTGGAAGGCCCCCAGGCCCGTCTTCTCCTTGTCCGCCGGCAGCTTCTTCGCCTTGAGCAAGATCTTCTTGCGGAAGTCCTCGGGCGAAGGCAGCGCTCCCAAGGACTCGTCGACCGGCAGGACGTACAGCATGTCTGCGGCAGCACGGCGGCAGCGTAAGGCGCGCAGACCACATCTTGGATCGACATGACACCCAGACCATGACGGCTAGCGGGGGGGGGGCGGGGGGGGGGACCGTGATGTACTTCGTGGGACGGCGCGGACAAACCCCCAGCACGAAGCCTCGCCACTGCAATTACCACCAAAGCAATGAGCTCCTACTATTGGCAAGTTGACAAAAAGCGACCTAGTAGCACGTTCTTAGCAGACCTTAAGGACATGGAACAGAACACGAGCTCACTGATTTAGAAAATACGCAGAAGTGATGCCCGGGAATTTACCGCCCGCTGCACAAACCACCCAAAAAGACCACTCACCGCCTAGGATGGTCTTCAGGTGATGGGCCATCTTCTCCTGCTGCCGCACGGAGCAGTGGTTCTCCATGCTCAGGATCAGCGGGTACTCCGAGTACTGGAACGCGTACGGCTTGATGGCGTCGCTGATGACGTCACAGAAGCGGATCTTGGAGGTGAGCGTGTAGCCGTGGTAGATGATGGGCTCGCCGTCGTCGCCGTCCCAGCAGTCGACTGCGGGCGGCGAGCGGGGTGCGTCAGCTCGTCCCGTCCCCCGCACCGGCTCGGCGATCCCACGCCTCACACCGCGCCGAGCATCGGTTCACCAGGACTGAGACGTGACACGGAGGACAGCGGGCCCGTCTCGCGGCGTCGACCCCGGCCAGGCGAGCGCCCGAGCCCAAGGCGCGGACATAAGACGGGAAAGACGGGCACTGCCGAGAAATCATTAATCGTGCATCACGTGCAATCGTGATGCCCGATTGCACGTAATGAAATCGCGAAATCACGCAACACCTGCACCCGTTTCAGGCCAGCCCCGTGCACAGCCCTCTACGTCAGCCTGCAGCTTAGGTGGAGCCCCCGGTGCCCGCCGTCCCGCCCCAGCAAGGGCCGCCCCCTGGCGGTCACTCACGCTCCACACAGCGGCAGCCCTTCTGAAGTGCGATGATGTACGCCTCGACGCTGGACATCCCCGTCAGCTGGTTACCCAGCAGGTACCTGGGGGCGGTCGGGGTCATCAGACCGCGTGCGTGGCGGTCCGAGGCGTTCGACTGACGTGAGCACAGGACAGCACTCACAGTCCTGCTCATAATAATGAATAACGCCGCATATTTTCTAATGAAAATGTCACTACTGCTTTCTAATCTAATGCTTTGCTGCTTTCTAATCTAATGTCACTGCTACGTGGCAACGTCTGAGCCATAGCACACCTCACGGAAACTGCTTTCACCCTATCAAAACGTCCCATATATACCTTGCCCACGTACTAAGCCATCGAGTGCTGGTCACCACAAACAATTCGCATGGAGCCGAAGAGTGGCGCGCCGGGCCGGACGCGACTCCACTCCGCCAGACGGCGCGGCCCGCCGCCGACACTCACGTGTTGTGAGAGGAGGCGATGAAGTAGTGCGCCAGCGGCTGCTTCATGTCCTGGTACACCAGGCTGTGCTCCGGGTTGAAGATGTGCACTTGCTTCGAGCTCATGAGCATGTGGAAGCCTGCAGCCGGACAGAACACGGCGGAGATGAGCCTTCGACTGAGCGCGGGGCAACCGGCATCAACAGTGACACTCACCTGCATCGGCCGCGTACAGTCTAGAAAGTGGAGGCGATATCTGCATGCCATTGAAACACGACAGTGCGCTTTTCAACTTTACGTTTTGCGCTTTAAAAATTTGCTCTGGGCCCATTCAGCGACAGGACAAACCAATCAGGAAAAGGCAGTGAATGCTCACAGAGTCACGTAAAGCACCGGGCGTGGCACGCAACTTGGCGAGCCCAGTATTTCGGCCACACTGGTCCCGCGTAGGACCGGTACAGGAGGACGATTCGGACTTAATCAGCGCAAAGCACTGAGCGTACGCCAACCACCAACACGCAACACACTGACCAACGACGGCACTGACGAACGACCTCTAACAGTCGTCTGCATGGAGCTGGGACAGCTTTAGCCTGGCACAACTGAGTAGTACCTGTCACCTGTCACAGAACTCACGCGTCTCTCAGACAAACGCTGTTCCCCGAACCACCACCCCAGACACGGCACCCTCGCCCATAAGGACAGGTCAGGTCAGGTCAGGTCGCGGGTGGCACCCCGCACCGCGCCCGACCCGCGCAGGAGCGACGCCATCACTGACCGTCGAGCGAGAGCAGGCCCTGGTACTTGGACTCGGACGGCTCGTACGTCTCGATCACCTCCCGGCAGAAATCGCTCGAAACGTCCTTCATCTTCTGCTCGCCGCGCAGGAAGTCGGCCAGCTCCTCAGTCGTCATCAGCTTCTCGTTGTTGGTGTACCTGGCGGACGGCGCGTCGGGCGATGATGATGCTGTGATGATACGGGTGATGTGTTGACGGGCATTGCGGCCCGCGCTCACGGATCTTGTTCAAGAAAGCGACCTCCCCTAAGGAGGCGGGCATACGCATGGACATGCGCCCGGCTCTGGCGCGGGCACCACCCAGATACGAAGAAGCCAGTTCCCTCAGTCTATCGTACGTAAGCACACCAGCCTGTCGCGCCCAGTCCCCCCGAGCCGGCCTCCCGACCGCCGGCTCTGCCGTGGCGCGGCGGCGCACCTGTTGAAGATCACCTCCAGCTCCGGCCGCTGCAGCAGGCTGTGGTAGAAGGCGACGAACTCCTGGTCGTCCAGCGCCGCCTCGTCGCCCTTGGTCCGCTTGTCGGTGTCGGCCGCCTGCGGAGGCCGGGGCTCATACGTCAGGCCGGAGCTGGCGGCGCCACCGGAGCCGAGCGCCGCACGCACTCGTTAGCATGGTCTGGGTGCAGCCCCGACGTGAACGGCAGGTGCAGGACAGCAACTTCAACGGGCCAGAGACGATGGGAAACTTTATAACAGATCACACACGGAGTCACAAATACTAATGAAATAATGCCTGTGGGCATGTAGTTTAATACCCCATGGCCTCGCTCAGTCACAAATTCGGCCCTACCTGAGCTTATTGCAGTTATGTGGGAGTGAAAGGGGGCAGTGGCAAGATTACCCCCATCCACTTCCCAGACTAGTCATCAAGAATCACCCTTTTCACCCCTCCCTCATCGCCAACATGCACCCACCACAGGCATTTACGAAACAAACGACCCAAATAACCACAATACCTCACGTCCCAACGACCACATGACACAATATGCCGCAACAGATCTCGTCCCTAAACACCGCCGGCAGGCTGAATGCGAGCGCCAGGCCACAGAGCCCGGAGCTGGCCGGGTCCCGCGGCCGGCGCTGACGTACGTCAAACAGCTGGCGAGCCGAGTCCTTGTCCAGCTGGATGTTGAGCTGCTTCAGCAGGTCCAGGCACTCGTCGAACGTCAGCACGCCGTTGTGGTCACGGTCAGCCGACTGGAACTGGCGCTTCAGCCACCTGCGCGCAGTCGGCGGCCGTCAGCGGCGGAAGGACGTCACGCTGCGAGCCACCGTCACACAGCGAGCCGTCGTCACACAGTGGATCGTCGTCACACAGCGAGCTGTCGTCACACAGCGAGCCTTCGTCACACAGCGGATCGTCGTCACATAGCGAGCCGTCGTCACACAGCGAGCCGTCGTCACACAGCGAGCTGTCGTCACACAGCGAGCCTTCGTCACACAGCGGATCGTCGTCACACAGTGACCGGTCCTCAACACAGGCAGCAGTCCTCACCGGCCAGGGCTTATCACCGTCGAGTGACGCGTCCACAAGATCCAAGAGGCGAATATTGAAACACCTCCCAGTCATAACCTCATTTTGACAACAGACGAAAACGTTCAAAAATCGCATCCACACACTAGTCAAAACCTCTTTTTAGCTCAATGCATTGCCGCATACTTGCCTATGCTTGCTACAGTGGTTTGGCGGCAGTGATAGCAATTCAGCCACGAAGACTATCTGTCTGTTTGACATAGCAGGCCCTAACTGGGCTTCTGAGGGCGGGCATGGCCTAGGAGCGTGAGCGAATCCATCGCTTTTCAAAAAGTGGATCCCTCTTAGTGCGATACAGCTGCAAACGAGCCATCGCAAAAGGCCGACAAAAAGTACCATACTCAGCTGCGCAAGAAGGGCAGATTGGCAGATTCATCCTAAACGAACTCTGGTGGGGTAACGGTGTACGCACGACGTACTGCGTGCGTTGTGCCTCGCTAAAGTCAACCGCTTACTGACTCTTAGGGGTTCATAAATATCCGAGCTCGAACAAAAGCGCGACTACAAGGAATGCTCTCCAGGGTGTTTACAGAGAATACTGCCCAACATTCTCACGTTTGCCAAATTGGCGGCACCTCGGCCCAGCCGTCTCGCCGCCGGAGAGACAAGCCTCAGTGTCGCCGCCTGGAGGCCGTCCCGGCACCTGGCAGGCTGCATCACGCGGGTGAGCACGGCGCCAACGCCAGAGCGGGACGAGCGGGCGAGCCAGCCGGAGCGCCCGTCTCACCAATGTCCCGCACCGGGAACATCCCGTCACCAGCCGTGCATCGCCGAGACGCGTCCCCACCACCGCCATGCTCGGCACGCGTTCCCGCCACTCTCCCGGACGGCGCGCCACCAGCCCGGCGCATCGGCTCACCTGTCGTAGTTCTTCTCCTGCTCGAGGCTGCGCACGACGGCCACCAGGTGCTGCAGGCCCCGCACCCACATGTCGCACACGTGCTCGTCCGGCGCCACCAGGTCCACCGAGCTCTTGTTGGTGCCTGCGGCGACGGCGGCGGCGGCGCGCCGTCACACACGAGCCAGGAAGAATGGGGACGGGGGGGGGGGGGGGGGTACGCAAAGGTCGGGCGGCCACGTGCACGGCCGACAGGGCGGCCGAAACAGGGGCCAAGATCGGGTCAGACGGCGACGCTCGGGCGGATGCCAGCAGACACCGGAACACGCTCTAGGCAGGGCGAAGCAGTCACGTAAAACTACACCATCCGATCTTTAATACTTCCAGTAAGCATGTGAACCGAAATGGGCCACTTCCAACCACGAATCTCACGGTCAAAATCATTGACAAACATGAGCGACAAATCCACATGCTCATACCACGTAAATGGGAAGTGACTATGCTATTCAGGCAGAATGCGAACCAACGCTAAATATAGTGGTAGGCGTCCTAAAACACCACTACACCACCACAAGCAGAAGACAAAAAGCCGGAACATCACCAGAAGCCCCCGGCCACCAGAGCGGTCGCCCGGACCTGGTGATGTGATGACCGAAGCCGGACGACCAGGGCAGCCGTCAGCGCGCTGCGAGCAGGCCGGCTAGGGCATCGCAGAGGCTCGCGCTGGCACGCCAGAGAGTGCCCGTCCCAGCAGCACGCCACGCCATACTGACGGACAATGCTCACGAGCAAGCGCCACCGCTCCAGCCCGGTCCACTGGGCTGGACGGGGCAGCTAAGGCAAGACAAGGCAATCACACGCGGCGGCAATTGAAGCGGCTGATTTATACACGTGGGAACGCCGCGTCCCCTGCGGCACGGCGCGGTGTCAGCGGTCTATGCCGAGGGTGGGGACAAGGGTGGGGGATGCAAGGGCGCAATAACACATCTCAAGCCAGTTAGAAATGCTCCGTGTGGGGAGCGAAATGACCAAGGCAATTAAAGCGTCCCTAAACCCAAATATTGCTCTGTGCGGGGATCCTTTCCTGAGAAGGCGCAACATGCCAATCCAGACCCGATTGCTGACGTTCTTTCCTAGTTTTCGCCTGCGCTCATCATATGTCCCGCTTCGGCACGATAAAAGCCGTAGGGTTGGCTATGTTAAAACGCCTCTTGATGCTCATTCATCCGCTAAAAAACTAAGCATGCCCGGAACTCTTCCGCCGAGACAGACGCGGAAGGGAGGGAGACCAGCGACCAGATCACGATGCATCTGGAGACCGTGGATGAGTGAGGTCCAGCAGTGTCTGCACAGCTCGCGGCACTCATACCGAGCGCGAGCGTCTGCCACGCTTCGCGAGTTCAACAGGCCTGGAGCAGTACTGAGCGACCGAGATGTCCGCCTATGCCCGCAAGTCTGTAAAGCGAGCTAGGCTCGGACCGCACGCCGGGACATGTCTATCTTTGCCTTGGCCTCCACCATCCGCGACACCCATGATTCACCTGTAGCGCGTGCCGAAACCAGCAAAACCACTATCATGGTACATCCCAGAGGGCTGATTTTGGAATAATTCCATATTTGCGACGGAGAAGGTAAGGTGGCAGGGACGTACGCAGGGGATCTGCGAGGGGGGGGGGGCGCAACCTAAAGTATTTATTGAAAACCTAGTTTAGCGTGCCGCATACGCGCAGAACTTGTTGACGTAAAACAAGGCCGCGCGTTCTTAATCTACTTACTATCAATGAGCCTGGCCCGAATTTTCTAGAGTTAACATCTGCTCGAGCACATTCAATACGTGTACTAAATCTGATACGGGAGCGGAGGAAAAGTACCCCCCGGGCGCCACCTCTTGTGTACGCCCTTGCACGGTGGCGCAATTTTGTTCTCCCTCGGTTCACGTTCAGTTTTGAGTAACGCGGCCAGCCCCCGTAGACCCCTGCAGCAACAAAGCACGAGCGGCTGGTCAAAATAACATCATGGCAGCCCGACCAAAAAGTGATCGCCTACAAGCCAACACAAACAGCGTGAGCTATGTAGTGAGGCGGGCACGGCAAAACAAACGCCAAGCAAATACACGGCGCTCGGTCACAAAGCCGCCGCCCGGGCGCGACAGCCCGTCCGCGGCCGGCGCGTCTGCTGCCTGGGCTCGGCCGCCGGCCTGGGACGAGGACGAGGACGAGGACGAGCACAAGGACACGGCGCAACGCGAGCGTACCGCGCCCACTGCTCACCTCGCGCCAGCCACCCCCTTTTGTACCTGCGCCTCCCCCATCGCAGACGAACTGGGTGCAAAACCAGCCACGTCAGGAGCACGTAGTCGTCTCCGGAGGGTTTGGAAACGCTTCTCTCTATCGATTCTCTTCGGTTAGCGAAGAAGAAATGAGTCATGGCAGTGTGGGGGCGCTCTTCACCAGTGTTTGGCCACTTCTACAGCTGAACGGACAGACCGAGACCATGCACATCAGTTGTGCGGCAACAATTGCTGTAATAATTCAAAAGCTACTCTCGTGCAAATCCCACGTGCCTTGCTTACAATGTGCACAGAAAATCAATGAGCATGATTTCAATCGACGCAATACAATTCCGACGCGTGGAGTTGATAAGAACCCCAAACACGTGGACGATAAACCAAGCGGAGTCCAACACACCTGGCTTGTCAAATACAAGCCTCGGTGATTCACCATTGCCAGAGTTCTCCAGTTCGGCCGTAGCCAGAACAAACAATTCAGTCAAAGGACTGACATCTACAGGGACCAATTCCAAAGAACTGCGAAAATAAATGCTGATAATTACATTCACTGCTCATAAGATAGTATAACTTACAACATTAAACACCTTCTGGGTTACTGGGTCACTGGCAGCAGTAGCAACTGCCGCAGCTGTCCACAGCCTTACCGTACGTCAATGCAGCATGGCAAAATATGATCCGATCAGAGTCATGCGCAATATCCTGTCATTCACGCCCAGTCTTGCTCCCATCCGAGCCGTCATTCTGGATCTGCTTCAGTACTACCACAGTACACTGGGAACACAGACCCCCTCCCCCTCCCCACCATCGCTGCCTTTGCTGTTGTTTCCGTTCCAAAGTCACTGAGGCACATGACCCGTTAGCTGTCGGCGTAGACCACGGTATGACCCTGTACTCGTTGTGAACGTTTGAGGTTCACGCGGCCAGTAAAGCGATTTGATATGGCAGAATGACGGCAATAAAGTTCAGTTAACACGGCCAGTTGTATGTTGGCTGGAATGGTGAACCTTGCATTATGGCTTAAAGCACGCCACCACCCCCAGCGGTCAGACCACAGCCCTGTTCGTGAGTGGAACCGACCCGGCCAGCTTTGACAAGCCCGTAGTCGCCTGGAGCCGGTGCGTTACACGGACCACATCACTCCCAAGACAATATCTCACGGATCCTCTTGAAGCCGTGGCATGGCAGTGGAATGGGGACCTTCTGAGACAATGTGGAGCCGCTCCCACTAGCAGCCGGGCCGTGCTATCATTGCAGGGCCTCAGCCCCGCCCGCCGGAGGTCCCCGCTAGCAGCCGGGCTGTGCTATCATCGCAGGGCCTCAGCCCCGCCCGCCGGAGGTCCCCGCTAGCAGCCGGGCCGTGCTATCATCGCAGGGCCTCAGCCCCGCCCGCCGGAGGTCCCCGCTAGCAGCCGGGCCGTGCTATCATCGCAGGGCCTCAGCCCCGCCCGCCGGAGGTCGCCGGACAAAAAGGCGCCCTAATCGGACTACGCTTCGCCAGCTCTTCGAGAGGCGCCAGCGATAGCAGCGCACACACTCGAGCTGTGGCCGCCCTGCTAGGCGTGACGTTATCTGCGGCACGGCACTGGCGGTGACGATGACTCACTGTAATAACGGGGGCCTGACCATGGGAACCACTTGCTAACGCGGAGAGTGTACACACGTGTGCCGCGCGTACAAGTTGGGACAGCAGAGCATGTAGAAAGGTTGGCAGGTCTCTGTCAACGGCTACAGGACGTTTAGAGTGCCGTGATTTACGTTGAGATTTTCCGTTGCACACTATCTTACTACTGGCCTTAGTTATCCTATTCTAATATCATTTATTCGTCATATCTTCATATCATATCTAAGGATGAATATACTATCCTCATATTTCCGATATTCACGATATCCCATATCTGAGCGCCTCCCAATGTCTAACATATATTTCATGAGATACCGTCAAGAAATGTCCCAAGCTAGGTTTATGTGCGTTTAAATCCATGCAGAATGCACAAGAACATGCTACATGCTTCACATAAGGACATCAACAAAACCCCACACGTGCCAAAGGCATTCTCCACCTACACAAACTCTACCAATCCCACATGCAAAAGTACAAGCCGACTGTAACATCGTAGATGCCACAAAAATCAACCACGAGTCCAGCTAAAAACAGCCTCCAACGGAGGAGGGCGACATGTGGCGACACGACACAAACAATGCAAGTGGTGCAGCACGACCCACCACGCAACCGTACCTCCAATTCCCGACCGCGCCCTCCGACCTGTCCAACACCCCAGATCACGAGGTCAGCCCGACGCCGGGGGGGGGGGGGGGGGGGGGCGGAGCTGGCGCACCAGTCACGCACGTCGTACGACATCCCCACGCGTATAAAACGCATGCCCTCGTGCGCAAAACCCACGGCGTGAAGACCCTTACGCCCACCACAGGCAAGCAGCCGAGTACCGCTCACGCGTCGCGAGCTCACAGCACTAAATACACCCTGCTCTCGTGACAAACACACCCCAGCCTCTCCCACTCGCCTCACACCCGCAGTATCAACACATCGGAGCGTCACCAGCGCGTCAGCCGCGGGTGCTTAACGATATCACTCCGTTCCCACACAGCCGTGACATTTGGACACTGCCCTCTCCTAAAAAAACAACAACAAAAAACACGGCATTCGGACATCTCTGGCCGTCCATGGCTCGTCCAGCAAACCTAAAAACGGGCTCGTCCAGCGAGCCTCGAAAAACGGGCTCGTCCAGCGAGCCTCGAAAAAACCGGCTCGTCCAGCAATCCTCGAAAAACGGCAAGATGGCGACCGCTTCCTTAGAAACCTGGCAACAGACTTCAACGGGGGTGCGAATTGGTATTTCCATTACTACTATTACTACTCCTTCTATTACTATCGTCACTATTACTATTACCACGATTACTATCAATATTATTACTGTTACTACTTCCCTATTTCCACAATGATCGGGGCGGGCGAAGACGTGACTGAAAGAGCCGCCGTGATGCGTTTAGGAAAGAGCAGCAATGAGATCACGACATTTGTTGCGGAACAAGCATTGCAGATCTCTGATTCGTAGCAACGGGCTCAAGAACAAACCATAGTCCCTCCGTTCTGAGGATTGAGTCGGCGTTATCAAATGCCATTTTCAACATTTGTACCAACCAGCACCTCCGATGCTGCGCCTGCCCAATATGCTCACAAGGGACAAGTGCACACGGGCAGCAGCGGTGTACCTCGTACGGTGGCGCTGGGAACACGGCACGTGGCGCACCTGACGGGCGTGATATGTGGGCCCACATGTGTAGCCTACCGTTTGCAGACAGCTCGGCACGCGTCTCTGTAGTGTACCAGATGTGGTGTCTCGCGGTGGCGAGGGGGGGGGGGGGGATCAGACCACAATACGACTTCCGCGGCTTTCCTTGCCGGGTGGCGCTTTGTGGCGCCACGGCTTGGCAGCTGATCAACTGAAGCGGTGCATCACCGACTTGTGCGCAGGATAGGCGACCGCGAGCTAAGCGCCGCAAATAATACCGGTTACATCATCCGTGCCTAATGCCGCGCCCGATAACAACCCCGCCTCCGACTGCACCGCTGTTTTGAATCGCTCAACAGGAGCGCGGCTGTCAAGACGACCGGTTGCAGTTGAGCCAATGTACGGAGTCATTTCGCCCATGAGGACGGATCCATCAGGAGTGCAGTGACAGAGTGAGGACGCATCCAGCCAGTGCCCAGTCCACAGCGCGATGGCCAGGGGATATGCAGAGTTGGGTCAATGTGGACATACGGGACGGGAGACCTCTGACTGTTGAATTTTTCGTTAGAACGGAGGTTATTTCCGAGGATGATAGTGCGTAAGAGGTACAGGGACACTGACACCGTATGGGAGGGATACCATACAGCCATTCGTTTAAGAGTGACGTCCCGGCAACGCGCATGGTTCCTTAATTTGAGGCAAGAAACAAGAGTAGACAAACTCCGCTCTTAGATGGCAACGTGTCTTGCAGCTCTCGCAACTACGAGAGGAGGAATAGATCGCCACCAGTACCAGGTGGGCGACGCATACCACGATTGGTACCAGCTAGTTACAAATCGAAAAGTAAAAGGCCGAGCTCTTTTCGTACGGTTTTTACGTTTCACCGCGGGACGATACGGTTCTGAAGCACTTTGCTCACCCCACCCTCAAATCAATCACAGTTTGGAGAGTCGACACGATCCCGTCCCCCCTCCCCCTCATCCAGACAAGGGCCACGTCAAAACGCTGCAATGATAAGTAAAAGCAAGAATATGCAATGTGTCACAACTCCCCACGTTGCAGCCAGCAGCATTTCAGACGGGCACATCTGCCTGCCGGCTCCCCACACTTGGGCCACACCTCCGAGCTAGGCACCTCACGCAGTAAGCCGAATTCCCGACGACCGCTCGCCCAGCACAGCACCCAGCACCATCACCGGTGTTGAGTATAAGATGCCACGGTCTGACCAACACAGCCATTCATCTTACCAATAATGATGGAGAAGCAGTTCCTCTCGTCGACCAGCGGAGGCGAGTTCGGCATCTTAACGATGCGCTTCTCCACTTTTGACGCGATGCGATTGAAGATGTCCGTTTTCCATCCTTTCCGAACGTCGTGGATGTCACTGATGTCCACTGGAAGTGTCGGGGCTGTGTGAGCATGACGCGTCCGCCCGGCAACGGCCCGCGCCTCCCTCCCGCGCACAGTCCCCGGCCCCCGACCGCCCCGCCACAGCGGGACACTGTGGCGAGGCCATACACCCGAGAGAGCGGCCCCGTCCCGTCCCGTCCCGTCCCGTCCGGTTTGGCGGAGCACCGGCGGGGCCCTGCTCGCAAGACGGCCCGGGCCGGGTTCCCTGGGGAACAAGGCGCGGGTTGTCCTGCGGGAGGGCAGGATAACTTCTCGCCTCTCCGTCCCTTAAACCCATAGGCCCGCAATAACCTGGACACGGCAAAGGAGGCCCAGTCCATACACTTTCTTCGTGTAATACAACACGAAGCATAGCCATTGCTCACAAAAGCGTCTTCTTTTGCAAAGCATCCTGAAAAAATGGCGACATGTTTCTTGCAAAAGTACCGTTCACGGATCACTTTTACCACGAACTGCCGGATGCTCCGGCGTTCCCACGGTTCAAATAAACGGTAGCTCGGTCCCGGTAAACTTACGCGTGGTGCTTTTTTCCACACAGACGGGCTTATGAGACGGCTCATAGTTGATCTTGAGATGCTCAAAATCCAGGGTGTATTTCCTTCGGTACCACTTGCTCAGGGATTTCACCTTCCATAGAAGGGTGCCCTTCTTGAGAAACGATATCACATCTTCAACCGACTTGCTCCTCTCTACGGCTTCTGCGAACACAGCGGCAATAACAGTAAACAAAAAATGCATCCGGAACATCTGCTGCTGCGTCATTAGTCAATGAGAGCAAAGTTGCAATATTAAGATGCAGCTCATAATCTTAACAAAAACCACCATTTTAAAACGTGTTAATTACCACCTTTGCTCGTAATAGCAACGACAAGTAACCCAAACGTCAGTTGAGGTGTCCTTACGTTTACGCCAAAGCGAGCAAAGCTATAACGTTTCTTACACTGCAGCCCATTCACAACGTTCTTTGGCCAGACAGCCATGACAATATGAAGTGTTGACCGTCAGCAGAATAAATGCAAAATCACAACCATTCCCACGTAAAAACGAAAACATCATGAAATAAACTAGAACCAGACCAGACTACCTAAAACAAATCAGCGATACGGCTCCAAACGTGCTGTCACTCACATCTAACAAAACTGACCCTTGTTGCAACCCTCACTCGTCCCACACCGCGCTACCCACACACAAGAGTGCACGACGATAAGCCTCTAGCTTAACAGGAAGACACGGCGAGCTACACCCGACGCCGGCCCACCGCGGCGTCTATGGCCAGCGCGTCCGACCGAGAGCGTCGACGTCGGCGCCGCTCGGGACGCGTCGGCGCCGCTCAGGACGCGCCGGCGCCGCTCGGGACGCGCCGGCGCCGCTCGGGACGCGTCGGCGCCGCTCGACACGCCCCGGAGCCGCTGACTCCGAGGGTGGGCTCCGCCCCACTAAAGGACGCGTCACCTCAGCCGTATCTGCGCGCGGCGCCACAAGCTGGCCGGGGAGCGGAAGCGAGTGCGATGCGCACTGAGAGCAGGACGGGGCTCGTGTGACGACACCTTGGTCAGCTTGGTCAGCTCTTGGTCAGGTGTCAGCCGACGGCACCAGCAGGACTGGGACGACAAAAGAGGAGACCCCGCCGCTGGGCAGCACTCACGGCGCTCCGTAGCTAGGGTGGGTCCCCGACCTCGGCGAACAGACCCGCCGCCCGCCCCTCCGACCGACGCTGCCGGCAGGCTGACGGAGCCACGATACGGGAGCCCTGCCGCCCAGCGCTGGGCGGCGCGCAGGGTCGCGTCCGACGGCGCCAGACGCTGGCGGCTGGCGGCCGTCGCTCGGCGCTCCTCCACACAGGTCGGGACAGGTCACAGGGCCGCGCTCAGGCTGGCGGCGTGCGCCAGCGCCGTGGGCCAGATCAAGGGACTGGGACTCCGGGCACGGGTATGCTAGACGGCGGCATCGTAACCGCCGGAGCACGCGACGCTCCAGCGCTGTGTGTGGGTGGTGAGGCGGGTATGGCGGTGTCGTACTCGGTCAGCATACCGTGGGTCTGACACAGATGAGCCAGCCGCAGGTTCCGCGGCTTCAGGCGCAGGCGTGACGGTGCTATGCTGTCATGCCCGGCACTAGCTACAGCCATCCTGGCACGCGCCGCCTACTGACGACCGGTAGTAGTTATCTGTGTAATCCGACGTAACACAAACCATGCACCACAAACAGCACACGAGCCACGGGTTGTGCTACACCGGGTTGATCGGCATGCGTTGTTGCGACTGTACCTTTTTTCCGCATCGCTCCAGTTTTCGAGGGTACGCCCTTGGACATATTCGACATTAGACGACAATGACGCCGACACTGCACACTGTTAGCGAAGCCGGCTGGTTTTGTGGAACGTCCCGCAGTTCACAAAGCCGGCTGCAATAGGACACAACGCGTTTAGCAGCTCATCCTTGGACGCTGTTTGCCACGACATAATGCGCGCCAAGCAACTTTTTGCAGCCAGAGAGCCAATACGATGCAGCGTCGACCAACACGAACGACAGCAACCGCCAAGCTGGCGGTGCTATGACGTCATGCCAGTGGCCGCTGAAGGGCAGGGTGACGTCACACATCCGTTAACCCGCCGGGCGTGAGAGCCTTGCATTCCTCCAATCCCGGAACCGGCAGATCAGATATGACGTCACCTCCCGGACAGTGCGTGACGTCACCCAACGCCCAGTCGCCGATCCAGCGTCGCTATTGATGGTTATGGGAGTCGGTTGTTGGGAACTCCTTGGTCAGCGGCGCCGGGGCCACGTCTGATGCTGTATTAGTAGCGGTATGGTAGCTTGCGTCGCGCGCGAATTCATTGACAGAAAATACTGAATGGCCACATGCAGAAAAAGTCAGCAATGTGTAATCGTGGATTGGGTGTGGGGGGAGGGGGGTAGGCTTCGGATCATGGATGCCAGCAAAACGAGAGGGAAGCCATAGAGGGGGAATGTCCCATAAAAGGATCGAAGGCCACTGCGGCCCATGCTTGCAACTCACTGTCCTGGTATGCGGAAAGGACTGCTTTCCTGTCGGACATATTTTTACAGCTGCCACTTCAACACCCAATTAAAACTGACCATCCAATTAATCAATATCGGTATCTCAAGCAGGAGGGCCTAAAGTTATATCGCAAGAATAGGTTGGGTCTGCAGGTCTTCACGAGAGGAATTTTGTCTGTCCAGTTTCCTCGCCACGCGTGGGGCTGGAGCCACGCCCGCCAGCTACCCATGCGTTATCGGTCCTAATTACCCGGCGCCCACAGGTAACATATTAGTCGAGACAATCCGCAAATAACGAGCCATTACGAAGACTTGGCGCTGAAGCTTACTGTTTACGGCGATCAATGCAAGACGTGTCCACACAGCCCGTTATGACTCAAAGAAAGTCACTAATATTCGGTTACGCATCTCGAGGCATGCATCTGACGTTCCTGACACTGCTGCTAGTACCCACACCCACACAATTTATGTTCCCAAGATGTATACCCAAACCAGCCTTCATTCGTTCAACACCGGCGTCCAGGAGTTTAACCTGCCCACTGGGGTCTCTGGCTGCACCACACATCCCACTAAACCGTGCTTTGCTCGGCAGACGGGCCGGCCCCGGCCGAGCCCTCGCGTCCGGTCCGCTAGCGCCTGCCGCACACGGAGCACCAGTACTCGGAAGGGCCGACCACTCCGAGCCACTGCGCACGTCACCGCACGGTCACGACGCCAGACGTCACGAACATCCGGACAGCGAATACACCACTACAGAGCGGGTGTGCACCTGTGTGACGACGTCGCGTGTTCCCCTCCCTCCCCGTCTCGCCCATTTTCCGCCCACCCCGCACCCGCCCCTTCGCAGACTGGCCCAGCTTGGACGCTGAACCCGCCCGAGCGAATCGATCAGCCCTTCGTAATTCGCGGAGCGCGGTGCGGGCCGTGACCCGGCGCCCCGGGGCGTAACGTGCGGCTGGCATGGACCTGTCAACGAGCGCAGCCTGTTGCAGCCGCTGCGCTGGCCTTGGCCGCCAGCTCATGACAGCCGGAATCACCCTCGTGAAGACAGGCGTCCGTCTTGCATGAACCGGCCCCGGACGCCCATCGCGGCCGTGGGCCGCCCACCGGCAGGTGGGACGAGGGGGATGCTACCTCGCGCCAGCACGCGGTTGGCGCAGAATAGCCGACTAGACCGATCACTCCAGCAGCGTTCAAACACCGGACTCCGCTCGCCGCGGCGATTCCGGCTCGGCGGCAGCGTGTGGTCGGCATCGAACCGGCCGGAGCACCGCGTCTTCAGGTCACCGGACAGCCGTGGGGTCGGGCCGGGCCGGGCTGGTGGGCGCGGCGAGGCGGGGCGCCGGCCGGCTGGCAGGTCGCCATCGGGCAGTCCGGAGCGGCGGCCGCTCCAACGCCGCGCCCGCAGCGCGGGGCCGGGCACCCCTCTCCCGCGCGCGGCCCCGGACAGCCCCATGAACAAAGGGGCGGGCACGCCGCAGCTCCTCCCCGCCGACACTCACCCTGAGACTCGTGCTCCCTCTCGGCGCGCCGCACAGTGGCGTTGTGCGCCTTCAGCTCGTCCGCCAGCGTGTACGAGCGCTGCCTGAGCGAGCTTTTGGCGCAGCCCATGACGCCGCCCGCCCCGTGACCTCTAGCCGGCCCGCCCGCCGTGTGACAGACGGGGAAGCTCACGCCACACGGCTCACGCGGTACCGCACGACTCACGCGGCGACTGACGCCGGCACTCCCGCCGCACGCGTCGATACTCGACTGCGGCGGGTGGCGGGCGCCCAAACTCCACGCCCCGCTGTGACGTCACCAGCGTGCAATGCAGGCGCCGGAGTCGACCAAACGAGCCCGGCCATCCGCCAACGCCGCAACCGTGGGCGGCAGGGCGCGGCGTTGACGGATGCTCCTTCTCCGCCCGGCGGCCTTGAACGCGGCGTAAATGCGGGCGAGTGGGCGGGCGGGGCGGCAGAGGGAATAGATATTCACGATTCCGATTCCGCTAGTGGTCTACCTGCTATTCAAGTCAGAAAATAACGAATTTCGTCCCAGGAAAGGCCCGGCCCAACAATATGGAGAGCATAAAACCAGAGGGCGTACATGGCACCGACGACCAGGGGAGGCGCAGCAGTGGGGAGGAAGAGGGGCAGAGGGGGTGGGTACCTCCCCCCCGCCGGGCAGACGGGCGGAGGCGAGAGGATCTTTTTTGCCACCTCAAATTTTTGTAGATCCCTTTTGCCCAAACTTAAGATTTTGTAGCTACAAATATGCTGCCAAAATGCAGGCCAATGGGGCTAAAATAGCTGTGCGAGGTGATGCTAAATCAGGATCAGAAGGCGCTTTTCTGCATCAAGAATCCCATTTTCTGGCTCTGAAGCCCCGCTAGGAACTACGAGTCCCTTGCTTTGGATAAGAATCACCCACTTTACATGGGGAGGCCCCCATTCTAGACCAGGGGACCGCCTCTCATGTGCCAGAAAGCCGCTGCTCCGTATCAGGATGCACTGTGTTGGGAAAGCGAGGCCCTTTGTCGGATTTGGAGGCCACCTTTGTGGATCGGCAGGATCCTGTTCTGAATTAGGAAACTCTCCCATGCCTTAGAAGGCGTGGTTACGGAAAAGAGGTCCCTGTCTCGAGATAGGTGGGCTCTTTGTTGAATCCTGTAATGTCCCTTAATGAATAAGAAGGGGGGGGGGGATTTTGGAGACTTTTCCACTCCTCAGCATCTTGTTTACTATGTTGCAATTGCTGCAATTCACAAGGATATGATACATATGACTCTTTATGAGGTTACGTGCCCTATCCCTTGAATATGACAGCACAATAACGCCCAGGAGCCCCCCCCCCCCCCCTGTGAGGAGACCCCGTTTTGTCCAGGACACTCTTCGAAAAGGCTGTCCCACCCGAACTAACTCGGGGGGCCGCCAGGTGAGGGTACGGATATGGGTTAGATGAGAGTTCGTCTTGAGAGAACCGTAAAACCACTAGGTTCGGCCGTCAGCACAGCCAGCTAAAGACAGCCTTTCGGTTAAACCTAATGCAGAGCTAAAAAGAAAGTCACTATCAGAGCGTGATGCGAATCAACCGATCAGATGCAAACGAAAGGGTTAGCCGCCTTGTGCCCCGCCCCACGTCCTTGGACGCATGGGACGAGCGGGTCGTCAACGGACGTTACCGTCAGTTGCCAGGGTCGGGTCCTCAGCTGTTAGCATTGCCTGATTGTCAGTTGTAAGCATTGCCTGATTGTCAGTTGTTAGCATCTGGCTGATGCCGAAAAGCCATGCTTACGGAGCCCGACATCTTCGACGGCCGATACCAATGGGTTTGATCTATGCGCTGATATAAACATTGCTGAAGGATGGACTGGCTATGCGTTCGATTCCAGTCAGGCTTCCGCAATTCCGATCGACGATCATCAACGAACTTGCCAGAATTACACGGGCTTTGACAACTGTGACCAGTGTTACGGACGAACGCAGCTATTCTGATAGCTAACAGGCATATTTCACCTTCGTCACGCTAAACAGGCTAAGCGTCTCTGTAGACCGCATGGCCTACAACGTCGTCAGGTTTAGGCCACGCATGTTGTGTTCGGGACGGCTCTCAATATTATTTTAAAGGGAACGCGAGGCATGCCGTCGCGCAGCTTCTTATGGAGCGCCAGCAGCTGCATTGGTCATTAATATATCAGGGCTCAGGGCCCATGGCGCAACTGGGATTCGAACCCGGGCCACATACGTGGGAGTCTCCGAGATGTTAACATTGGCCCCTTTCCATGCGATCACTAGCACACCTATGGGCCGAAGAGTTTTGTGATCCATTAGTGAGTTCCGTGGACAGTACATTCATCCACGACGTACAGCTGCTCTTCCGTTTCTACCTGCTCGAGTTGTTGAAATGTGACTCCAAGTATTAAAACTCCTCAAAACGGGACCCATGGTTGGCGCACGGAAGCATGCACCGGTCTGCACACGTAGACCCACGCTTTTCCCGTTACGATTTTCCGTTTTCTCCTCCATTAGTTTCTTTTGGTTCCGTGTGGCTGAGACCGCCCGGTCGGTGAGATCTGCCCCGGTTCCGTTTTTCAGCTGTCTAGCAATTTGAAAATATTTCCTTACTCGAGAGGGGAGGCGGCATTGTGGTGGGAGTGCGATGTTGTTTCTTGATGTCGGAAACTGCGTGGATCTGTGACCAGTGGCTGCAAAGATACCAGCTTCTCGAATGCGTGAAGGCTGCGCCGGGCCTCTCCAGCCGAAACAATCGATCACAGTACAAGCTACATTGCAAATATACCAGCAAACATACCAGCTTCTCGAACGCGAAAAACCCGGGACGGGCCTTTCAACCCGAAACAATTCACATTTCAAGTTGCATTCCCTCGGCCTGCTCGCGCGTGCACAGAACACGCGGAATCAAGTCACAACAAACGCCCAGCGGCCCCAGGCAGACTTCCCTCGCACGCAAGCGGTGCCGGGCCAGTTGCAGCTGCAGGAAGGGCCGCCCAGGAGCGCTGCCAGGCCACTGCAAGCCCGACATGTGGCCAGGGCGGCCTAAAGAGTAGTAGCAGGGTAGCCTCAGGAGTGTGACGGGCATGCTTCTCCCGGAGGCCAGGTGGCCCCACGCACGAAGATGTACCCCAGCGGCCCCGCGCATCCTCCGGCAGCCGGATCGGCCGGGCCTCAGACAGCCTAACAGGCCGCAGGCCGTGTGGCCTAGCAGAGTGTGGCCGTGCAGGCCTGTGTGGCCGTGCCTAAGTGTGGCCGTGCAGGCCTAACAGACCGTAACAGGCACCGCTGCACACTCGCGTTGGTTGGATGAGTTGAACGGCAAACAGCTGCGGAGAACACGATGGCGCTGGCCACGCGTAGGCTCAAGTGGATGACAGTTGCTGTACTCTAAGCCGTTGTTAGAAGTGTACCGGGTATGGAGACGCTCACAGATGTGAACACAACCTTACTGAATAAAGCCACTCGTCCGACCAGACGACACTGCAGGGGGAGCTGAGTTTGATGATGGGTTATTCGCAAAGCCTTACTTGGGGTGATCGAACAATATTTCAGAAAGAGCCCGAAATATCACGAAGCATAACGTTCAGGCTGTCTTAGGTAACCATTTTCGTACCCAATACAGCTTTATCCGAATTTCCAGATGATTCTCGCACAACCTTATGGCGACAAGCGGTCCACCGAGCGCGGCCCGGTCACCGGGACCGGGCCAGCTTGCCGCGGCCGGGCCGGCCGCCCAGCGATGACAAACAACAGGACGGCCGCGCGCCGAGCGGCAGTCCCTGCACGCCCCTCCGTACTGCGTGCGGCCGCGGCACGCCGCGAGCACAACACGCACGTGAGGCCGAGTAAGCGCGCCAACGCCGTTTCGATCGAACCCACGACCACCGCCGGGAGCGCCGTCCGTTCAATCATCCCGTGTTGGTTTGCACAGCGGGCATGGAGCGTGACCATGCCGCGACCTATGGCATCTGGTGCGGACGCAGTCCGTCTTACGCAGGTGTCGACCGTCCATGTTAACCGCCATCAGTCCACCAGAAATCACAGCCAGGGTCGTCACGTCCCCCTTACCAAATTTATGGCATGCATTGATACGTGCATTAGTCACGTGCATACGTCACTAAATGTTGACAGCTGAAAATTCCAGGCACCTACAAATGCACTGATTGGGAACATGCCATGTCGTTTTGCGATACGCTGGTAGTTGTGCGCGCCCACAGCACACTGAACTCGGCTTTTCGGCGCAAATGTTTGAGTCGTGCCAACCCCATTGTGAAGTCTTGCACACAGCCCTAATCACAGCCGTAAGGAGCGTTAACACCATCCGCATACACGCTTGCTGTCGTGTTTGTCAGCAGCCGGTGCTATTTTATCGGAGTGGAACCCACACGTTATTTCGGCAGCAGCGATTCGCACGCAGCCTCGGCTCTCCAGCGAATTTACGTAGCAAGATAGCAGACTGGATAATCGTTGGAGGGCAACTAGCAATCTGTTGACCATTCCACGGCGCATACATCTGCCATCCTACGAAGCGTATTGCGTAGTGTGTTGATGAAATGAGAACCTATCCATCATAGGGAGGTGCTCCGCCCTGAGCCATATCGTCTCCATCGGAGATAGGCAGACATCTGGGTTTCTGAGACGATTACAAGGTTGCATGTGCATAGCGACATGCATATGCACCCTTACAAATGAACTACTGCAAATTTTATACGGTAGCTCACATGCCAGCGTTTTTTTCAGCATTGCTGTGGAGACTGGCCCGAAACTCGGCTACAACGTACCCACAGCTTTTCACTATCGCATATCTTGAAACACTATCAGCTCGCAGACCACGACATAAAGCGGAACAAAGGAACTGCCCAGTCCGTGGAGACGCAAGTTCCACGCCCCAAAGTCGCCGCCTGCATGCTACCGGAATCACCGAATCCGTTTGATACCGGAGCCAACGCATCGATCAGCGGTGGTCGAAGCTTCGCCGACCGCAGCTGAGTTCCAACAACAACTGCGTACGGCCGACGGTCGGCGATCGTTATCGGAGGATGGCGACGCCGGCTCCTGACCAGGAGCGTGCGACCGGTTGATGCAACGGTCAGAGGGAGTCACCGAGGCGGCCAAGATGGCGGCCGAGGCGGTCGGAAAGCGATGCAGGCGGCTGGCTGTTACCAGATCTGAGTGCGGCTGGCTGACGATGCCTCACAACACAAATAGCACCAGAAGGCGCAGATAACGCATGAGTGGGATGCTTTCCAGGTACCAACGGCTTCCAAAGACCACGCGTTCCCAACTGGCAACGCCATCTGCCGGAAATACCGCTAGTTGACGCGGTCTGGCAAACTGGCGTGGCCGATCCTAACTGATCAGCGGAGGACGCGCACGAAGGCAGCAGACGCTGTGCAGCGATCTCACCTTCCGGACTATGGACAAGGTGAACAGCCCACTCAGGATGTCGCCAGCAATCATATCTTTCATCATAATATTGATCTCAGTCATATCAATCACCGATAACTCGCTCAGCACTGACGTCAGTATCAGCAGCAACAGACCCGGCCGGGCGCAGCTGACCGTACCGGCTCTCTACTGCTGCGCAACGCGGGTTCAGAGGGCCGACGACAGACGGAGCGGACACTCGCCCCGACCTGGACAGTACGGGGTCTCCTGTGGTCGCGCACTCCACCGCTCTCCATGTGCTGAACGACCAGCGTCGAGTTCCGCCACAACAGGACGGGCCAAATCAGACGAGCTCAGCGGCATGCGATCCGACTTAGCCCGAGCTCGAATCGCGCCAGACAGCCGCCATCGGCCCAACAATGACTGGGGGTTAGACAAACAGTCAACCATGGCCCGACGTCCCTGGCATGCGCCCCAATCGAGCCCGTGTTACACCAGGCAAAGCAGCTGCCAATCAGCCCTCCCAACAACGGGTTGGAAACGCGCAGGAGACCCAGGCCCTTCGCGCGGTGTCTCTTGGTTTGACTCGCGGCCGGTCGGACGCGGACAGTGCCATTCCGGGGCCGCAGTGTTGGCACACGACCACGGCTGTGACTCCAGCCGAGGACGGCGACCGATAGCTTTCACAATCCCCCCCCCCCCCCCCCCCCCCCCCACACCACCAATGCAGCTTCACCTACGGCGCGACGCCTGGCATCGTCCTCCAGCGCACAGAGGAGCGGGAGGTACACAGCCCGTCGGCATCGCAGCCGTACCACCATGCCGGAGCGGCCCAGCATGCTCCAGACCCATCTCAGGCCCCCTCACGCGGGCCGTCGTGCCTTGGTCCGCACCGCGCCGCCACCTACCGATCTGCCAGCTGTTGTAGAAGTTGGCAAAGTTCATGGAGCGCCGTTCCTCCTCGGGATCATCGAAGTCGGAGAGCGTGGGCCGGCGGCGCCGCTTCATCGACGAGCGCAGGGCATTCAGCATGACGGCGCGGTGGCGGTCGGCGGCGACGCGCGCACCACTGAGGACGCGGCCCGCCGCCTGTGGCCGGCCGCGGCCCTGGCTCGCCTATCGCGCCGCGCGATAGCCGGCCCGACGGCACACCCAGCGCCCATCACCCGAGCGCATCCACGTCAGAGGTCGCGGACACCCCCGCCCGCGGCCGCGCACACCCCTGCCCACGGCCGCTGACAGGATGTCCGTAAGGGGTCGCGGATACTCCCTGTCCGCGGCTGCTACGGGGATGCGTCGGCCGGTGGGGGGGGGGGGGGGGAGGAATAGCTTTGTGTGAGGTGGGTCCGAACCCGAAACATGTACGGCGAAAGCTTGGAACAAACGCCGTAGGATAAGGGACAGCGCGGCAGACACCGGACTTACCAATGACGTATTCTTGTACCGCATCTAACGCAGGGTATATGGGGGAAGACTTTTCGCTCATGGTTCGATTCCTCCGCCAGCTGCTCCGCGGCAAATGCCAGTGGCGGTAAATGCTGAAACACATCACATGTAGTGACTTAGTAGTAACAAGCCTCACCACGTGTGCATTTTGATCGCAAAAGAACACATGCTCAGACAGCTGCCACACTCGGAATTCAACACGCCAGCACACAGCTTCATATTCATCAAAATAAAGCCTGTGGCTTCAATGTTGAAACACCCATAATTGAAGACAAAAGTGTGTTATTCATCAATGACTTACTATCTAATACACATATCTTGAAAATTGACAATCGTGATTCAACCTTCTCAGCGATGAACATGAGAAGGCTGTCCCTTTTCTGGATGACCACAATAATGCAATATGTAAAACCATTTACCATTTAATTACCAACAACCATTCAGGTCGCGCAGCCGCCCTAAAAGTCAAGTAATGTCAGAGAGCAGGATGAACCATGCTGAGCAGGCATGTTTAACTTTTGCCACCAAATTCTGTCATTTATGTGTTCAAAAGCTTTAGATTAATTTTTTCTTAAAGGTACTAGGGAATATGAATTCATGTATCCTGGGGAGACAACTTTTTTAATTTGAGGAATATCTTAATTTAAACAGAAGTTTCTGAGCCCAGGTGACCAATAATATGAGAAAATAAACACTGCAGCACTATACAACATAATGTTATTAACTAAAATATTACCACTCAACTATATAGTTCCTTACTTAGCACAAATATACAATCATAAAATGCATCTCTTCAACTCATATTCTAAAGGGTGAATCAGTTTCCCACCATTGTTTAAAAATAACTTCGAAGAATATCACAATCCACATGACATTCATGGTAACTGGCATCACACCAACTCCTCCAAATATACAGCTGACACTCAGAGTCCACACCACAAACCTTACATGTTTTTCCAAAGTCAAACCATGTCAGTGTAGCAGCAAGATTGGAGAAACAATTTGAGTGCATATACATGGTAATTCCTTACTCAGGGATTGGTGCAAGGTGATCACCAATGTCAGCCACGCAATGCCAATGTTTCAAGAAATCATGACACTGTGAAGGCAATTTAAGGAAAAACACCTTGTTGACAACACATTGTGTGCAAAATACCTTGTGTGCAAATATAGAGAAAAATCAGCACAGGTTAGAGTATGGCAACGTTATCTGGGGCCCGTTCGGCAAACTGGACCAAAAACGGCTGGAACGAGTTCAGCGACGCTACCCTGAGAGGCTCAGACTCCTTCAGCTGCCCTCACTGTACTATCGTCGTCGCAGGGGAGACATGGTAACAGTGTACCAGCTATTTCATGAAGGCATGTCGCTATGGAAGAGGAGTTCCTGACAAGGCACAACTCGGAGGTGACGAGAGGACACCAATAGAAGCTCAGAAAACCTCGAGCTAGGACTCTCGTCCGTCGCAACTTGTTCAGCACGCGGGTTGTCAACGACTGGAACCTCTTCCGCACCCGGTCGTGTCGGTGTCGTCGACCTCAGTTGAACAGTTCAAGGCTAGGCTTGATATGCACTGGGCTGACATCATGTATGATGTCCCACACTGAATATTCCCATAATTTGAGACTGTTTGGTTACCGGACCGGGAGCCTGACAAGACCGGGACCTACAGGCCTAGTGGCCTCTTACAATTCCCGATCACCATAAGGTAAGGTAAGGTAAGGTAGGTTGGCCTAGCCTGACCTTGGTGCATGTGAGCTCAGGATTTAGCACACAAATCCAAGCATCCAGAGCAGCATGTGGATTTTTAGCAGACTGGCTGGGATGAAAAACTTAAGCTGGCAACACAATACTTGCAAGACATGCAAAAACCATCAATTGTGTGAGATCATCATAATTATGTCTGACACACGTGATGACGCAATACTGGTAGTGTGATAAAATAACTGTAGGTTTTGTATTCTCTGAAATAGCTATCTCATGCAAATTGGCATGTTGAAGGCATTTCTGAAACTCAGTTCATACACCCACATGCAGGATTCCAGTGCCAAGCCTGAATGACTCAAGAGGCACCATTTTAAAGCACAAAAGAGCATGCCAATGTATTTGAATGAATAGTTCACCACAATCATAGACCTAAAAATACATCACTTGAGTCAACCAGTAATCTTAGCTGCTATCTAAATGATCCAATCTCACAAACCCAAATATACATCTTCTTCATGCTCCGACCACACCCTACCGACCTCCGCGTCCGAAAGTCTATGTTCGTTAGGCACCCAGCCGGCTGTTTTCAAGCCCAGATAAGATACTACTGAGAGACATGGTTCTGAACTTGCGTGTACGACAAGGAAGTATCAGGCGAAAATCAAAAGCAAGACGCATACGAGCATCACGCGTACAAATTCCCCTAGATGCCTCACTCATTACCCCTTCGCACCGTTCCTTTATCCCTCCTTCCACGCCCCTCGCCCCACTCGCCACTGCAACAGTTAGTAAACATTAGTTGCAATTGATACAAGTGCGCCACTTACCCTCCATATGAGAATGGCCAACTCTAAGCAAGTTAGATGGAATGGAAAAATTACCTAATAACACGATTTCACTACAGGCAGCTACGATGTAAATATATTTTAAATTTTTGACACGGACATAGATAGCGGACAGCAGAATAAAACATTACAATTTTTTCTCTTTCACTCTCAACATTCCGGCATACTTCACGTGAAGATAAAGGGCTGCAAATCATCGTCTGCATGCTGGTAATTTGGCAACTCTTTTTATGGAGCTCAGCGAAGGTGCCGAGAACTTTGTTGCTGTTGGCGCGTAACGCGGTCTGCCACTGTTGGATCTCGGGTTTTGTGTTCTTTTGCATTGTGTTTGTAGCAGTTGCAGATTGCATCGGGAGAACGCCGTTTAGTATGTGAGGTGGTTGGTTCCACTCGTTACTCACTTCTTAGTTTCACTTGTTCCTTATGTAGCCTTGTTCCACTTTTTGTAGCCTGGCCAAACCTGGTGTTTACTCCATAAGTCAGCGGTTTTTCATCTAAGAGTCTCTTTTCTAGCTATTTCTAATGCTGAATTCGATCCACCGCGGATCGATCCCCGTTCGACAAGCTGGCGATTTTGCTGCTAGTGATGAACAAGCAAGCTAGGCTTGGGTATGTCGATTCCTTAAAGATAAATGAGAAAAGGGACCTGCATTTAGCAAAGAAAGTTAGGCTGTCATGCACCCTATATTGTCTACTCGTAACAGTCAAGATGTTCTTGTCATCTGGCAGTCTTTAACTGCTGTTGGTATCTGAGCAGTTCAAATAGCATGCATGCACAGTGCACACTCTTTAAAAGCACCTTTCCTTCCCCCCTCGGGTGCTGGTAGTGTAGTGGTTAGCGTGTCTGCGTTGGTTGCTGGGCGTCTGGGAAACCAGGGGTACAGGGTTTGATTCCCCGCGGTGCCCGCCCTTCCTGCCAGGGTGAGAGGCAGGCGACGCTGTATAGCCTCGGTAGCTGAGTGTGTTGTAAAGCCCCAATCGCACATCCACGCTCCCTTCCCCCTCGCCATCACAGAAAATCCAAGTATATTTAAGTGCCAAGTAATTTGTCTCAGTGGTTTTGGAGCTTAACCAGAGAAAATTCTAACACCTGATTAAGCCTAGTAATTTTGCCTCCACTCATCTGTGGTTTAATTTGTACCCTAGGTAACTTCCTAGTTTTAATTTCCTCAAGGTTTGGTTATATAAAATCTAATGCTTATGTTTGAAGTAATCAGTGTTAGGTCTGCAAAAAATCATCTAATACATGGGACAGCTAGGGAACATTGGTGTGCTTGACCTTATCCTCAAAACACAAAGCCAGGCCAAGCCAATTGTGCTAAATTTTTGAATTGTTTTTTTTTGTGAAAACATTTTTTGTCTGTTTGCTTGAAATCATATTTTCAATATCTGACCTTGAAACATTGGCTTTCTATGCATAAAAATTGATGGCACTGTGGACCAAACACTGGGCTCCCAAAATTGCAGCACACATGTGCTGAAATTCCTGCTGGGATGTTGGACTACACTGCTATGCTGGCTATGCTGATGCTGGCTACACTGGACAAATATGCTGAGCATAACATGCGTTTTATGCAGTCGAGAACAGTGTGAGGTTGCCATCAGAAGATGTATTACATGATTTACACTGATTTCCTTGTGGAGTTGTTAGTAACAGATGCATGCCATTACTTTCATTGATTTGCCTGTTCAGTTTCAGATAACCTTACAACGTGTTGCTGCATGCTAGGCACCAGCACCTAGCTAGCAAGATGGCATCAGATGGTCTGCCATCCAGTGGGAGGAGCCAGCTGGCTACTATGAAGCTCAATGATTCGAAAGCTGGCATGGAAGGGTTAGACACAGATAAAATCAATCAGGTAGAGCATTGTTATACCCCATAATTTTCATAGTCATTTAACTGTGTAGCTGAATTTTTCGTTTGTGCTATCTCAACTGAATTGATAACTAGTGACATTTGCTTTTTGATTGGTGAAAATGTGTTGTATGTGAAGGCTCATATAGTAAGGTTTGTCCAGATGGCTAAATTGGTTTGAGTGCCTGCTTCCCAATTCACCCATGGGTGATGGGGTGAGTTTGAGTCCCTTTGGGAGCTCACTATTTGTCCTTGATAGGTATGGACTACTGCCAAGGTAGCCTGGCAATGAAGGTCAGATGGCTTCAGAGGGCAGGATGGACCCTGCCAAGCATTGCGACAGGTGAAGCTTTCACCACCAAATTGCGCCGTTGACCCGGAATTGCGTGAGGGTATGGTAGGGGTCAGGGTTCACATGATCACTGCTTTGTGTGAGTTCTGATCCCAGAAATCCATTCATTCAAAAGATTTAGAGTTAATTTGAAAATAAAAAATTGAATCACCACTGAGATCTCAACTGGCCTTTCATCTATCTCGTATGTTGCAGATTATTGAAGAGGCTTCAAGAGGGTCAAAGTTTTATGCTCACAAAAAGCAACGACAAGAAAAAATTGATGAGAGGATCAAGCATATGCTGGAACTTAAGTCCACCTTCACCCCGAACCAGATCGCCAGGGCTGAGTTGCAGGTGCCTGGCGCAGGATGATAGGAGGCGTCAATGCGCGACTGTTTTCAGGTCCCAATCAATAGCACTGATCTGAGGACTTGGAGCATTGTCGGTTGGTTGATGTGAGGCTGTTTCAGTATCACATGTCTGGACAAATCTGTTTTTGAAAACGATTGGTGAGTGTATGACAAATGAATCTAACATGCTTGGAATCTGTCAAAAATTAGTACCGTGGCAGATAAAATAATATGCATTGCTTGCTTGTATGGTGCCTGGTCACAAATGTAAGCTGAGGTGGGGTCATGCATGTTTCAGCAAGTTGTTATTTAATCAATGTTAACATTGATTATTCAACCTTTTGCTCGGAGAAGTTGAGTACTCAGGGAAGCATGTCCAGCAGATAGTAAAACTACACATCATTTAACAAACCAGCCATAGACAGTGTGAGCTACATTGAAACCTCAGAGGGAGAGTCTACAGCACCGCACCATTGCCACAGATGGACGAGCTAACAGCCCAGCTGGAGCTGAAGCGGGACCTGAGCAGGTTCATTGTGCACGTCGACATGGACGCGTTCTACGCCGCAGTCGAGATGCGGGACAGGCCAGAGCTTCGGTGCGTCTCTCGCTGGATGTGGGGGTGAAGGGCCGGGGCTTCGGTGCGTCTCTCGCTGGGTGTGGGGGTGAAGGGCCAGAGCTTCGGTGCGTCTCTCGTTAGGTGTGGGGGTGAAGGACCCATAGCTTCGGTTCGCCTCTCGCTAGGTGTTGAGTGAAGGACCAGAGCTGCGGCGCGTCTCTCGCTTGGTGTGGGGATGAAGGGCCAGAGCTGCGGTGCTTCTCTCGTTAGGTGTGGGGGTGAAGGGCCAGAGCTGCGGTGCGTCTCTCGCTGGATGTGGGGGTGATGGGCCAGAGCTGCGGTGCGTCTCTCGTTAGGTGTGGGGGTGAAGGGCCAGAGCTGCGGTGCGTCTCTCGCAGGATGTGGGGGTGAAGGGCCAGAGCTGCGGTGCGTCTCTCGTTAGGTGTGGGGGTGAAGGGCCAGAGCTGCGGTGCGTCTCTCGCAGGATGTGGGGGTGAAGGGCCAGCGCTGCAGTGCGTCTCTCGTTAGGTGTGGGGGTGAAGGGCCAGAGCTGCGGTGCGTCTCTCGTTAGGTGTGGGGGTGAACGGCCAGAGCTGTGGTGCGTCTCTCGTTAGGTGTGGGGGTGAAGGGCCAGAGCTGTGGTGCGTCTCTCGTTAGGTGTGGGGGTGAAGGGCCAGAGCTGCGGTGCGTCTCTCGCTGGGTGCGGGGGTGAAGGACCCAGAGCTTCGGTTCGTCTCTCGCTGGGTGCGGGGGTGAAGGGCCAGAGCTTCGGTGCGTCTCTCGTTAGGTGTGGGGGTGAAGGACCCAGAGCTTCGGTTCGTCTCTCGCTAGGTGTTGAGTGAAGGACCAGAGCTGCGGCGCGTCTCTCGCTGGGTGTGGGGATGAAGGGTTAGAGCTGTGGTGCGTCCCTCGCTGGGTGTGGGGGTGAAGGGCCAGAGCTGTGGTGCGTCTCTCGTTAGGTGCGGGGGTGAAGGGCCAGAGCTGCGGTGCGTCTCTCGCTAGCTGTGGGGGTGAAGGGCCAGAGCTGCGGTGCGTCTCTCGCTGGATGTGGGGGCGATGGGCCAGAGCTGCGGTGCGTCTCTCTCTCTGGATGTGGGGGGTGAAGGGTGCGGTTCGTCTCTCGCTAGGTGTTTGGTGAAGGGCCCAGAGCTGTGGTGCGTCTTTCGCTGGGTATGGGGATGGAGAGCTGCGGTGGCGCCCCTGTAGAGGAACACCGCGCGCTGCACGTATCACGTGTCCGTGGTCGCCACGCGAGGGTGTAGTGTCTAACAACATTGTAGTTTACTAGTCATCATCTCATAGAGGAATTTGTGTTTCGCTGTGGACTTCGTACTTACAGAACTTGTTATTTGACGCTGAACCGTGCTACATGAAATCGGAGATGTCATCCAGCACTGGCTGTGTATGTTAACAGCAATGTGCTGTTACTCGCGCCACGGCCGTGGTTTGACCACACTGTGGAGGCTCTGGCGAGCCCAGATGACCAAGCGGTGCTCTGCCTGTCTCAGGGACGTACCAATGGCGGTGGGCGGCACGGGCATGCTGAGCACGTCCAACTACGCGGCTCGCAGGTTCGGGGTCCGCGCCGCCATGCCCGGCTTTATCGGGCGCAAACTGTGCCCCCACCTGGTCATCGTGCCCTGCAACTTCGACAAGTACCGGGCGGCCAGCGAACGGGTCCAGCAGGTGCTAGCCCGGTGAGTGGGCGCGGGATCACTCCCAGGGGTTTGCACTGTTTATGTCATTTGTGTGCGAAGTAAGTTACATTTTGCTCTCCTGGTTGACTTGCTGTGCTGCTCAATATGGATATTTTCCATAAACTAATGGTCGTGCTAGCTCACATTTCCCTGTTTTGGACAAAAATGTGTTGTGCAACGCATTAACATCCGGCAAATAATGGCAAGACTTAGGGTGCGGTGCATGGGAATAGCGCTGCCGGCCGTCAGCAGTGTCAGAGCATCGCTGTTACTCCTATGGTGAAAGCGAAGGCAGTTCAATTTGCTCAGCTGAGAGCGTAGACTGTGGCCATCACGGAAGGTGCAAACCACAGGCAGCCTATTAGGCTTAACATTTAAAAATAATTCCTGCCTGTTGTTCGCTTTTGATGGTGCTGCCTGGCGTCACGTGAACTGTTACGTTTGTCCATTTATTATGGCCGAGTTTGCGATATCGTCCAAAGGTGACCCCTCCCTTCGTCCTCCCTCCGACCTCCCCACGACCTCCCTCTGACCCCTGCCCGTTGTACGCAGATACGACCCAAACTTCTCCATGGGCTCGCTGGACGAGGCCTACCTGGACATCACGGAGAAGGTGCACTGCACGCTGTCGGCCGGCGAGTCGGAGGAGACTGAGGACGAGGCGGCCCAGCGACTGGTACACCAGCTGCGCGACGAGATCCGCCAGGAGACGCAGCTCACTGCCAGCGCAGGTGAGCACCTGCAGGGCGGGCGGGGCGGGGCGAGAGGTGCCAAGCGTGATGGCGAGCTGGTGATGAGGAGATGAGGAGGAAACGAGGGCTGGGGGATGTAACAGGTGAGTGAAAATAAGCGAATTGGCATAAGTAGGAATGACGTGCGCATAAACAGTCAGGGTCCCGTCCTATTCCTCCATGTGCATTTGGTCTGCCTCTACCGGAACCGAGCACTGGAACCGCTGAGCTCACCTCCTCCCCTCCTTCGCCCTCCGCCCGCAGGCATCGCGTGCAACGGCATGCTGGCCAAGATCTGCTCGGACCAGAACAAGCCAGACGGCCAGTTCTTCCTGGCGCGCGACCGGGACGTCATCCTGCGCTTCCTGGACACGCTGCCCGTGCGGAAGGTCTGCGGCATCGGCAACGTGTCCGCGCAGCAGCTGGCGGCGCTGGGCGTGACGCTGTGCGGCCAGCTGCGCGAGCAGCGCGGCCTGCTGCGTCTGCTCTTCTCGGAGAGCGCGCAAGGCTCCCTGCTGCGCGCCGGCCTGGGCGTGCGCGAGCCGGCGCCGGCCACCGACGACGGCCACCAGAAGTCGGTTAGCACGGAGACGACGTTTGCCGCCACGGCCGACGCGGCGTGGCTGACGGCGCTGGTGCGCGACCTCTGCCGCCAGCTGGCCGAAGACCTGCGCCGCAAGGGTTTGCGCGGCCGCACCGTCACGCTCAAGGTGAAGACGAGCACGTTCGCTCTGCGCACGCGCGCTGAGAGTCTGGCCACGCCCACGGCCGCGGCTGAGACGATGTTCGCGGCGGTGCGGCCGGCGCTGACGCGTGAGCTGGCGGCCGGCGAGCCGCTGCGTCTGCTGGGCGTGCGGCTGTCGGCGCTGGAGGAGGAGGGCACCGCCAGCTGCCGCCAGGTGACGCTGGCAGAGATGGCTGGCCGCGGCGCCACCGAGCACGTCTGCCCGCTGTGCGGCAGCCGCAGCGGCTCGCGGGCCGAACTCACCGCCCACGTGGACCGGTGCCTGCCGCCTGACGAGCACGCGGAGGCGCACCAGGAGTGGGGCGGTGCGGCGGCCGCGCTGCCCGACTCTGCGGCCGGGCTGGCGGCGACTGGCGCGCCCCCAAGCGGTGGTGAGAGCGGGGACGTCACTCGGGTGGCCCCTGACTGCAGCAGGGGTGGTCTGGTCCAGGAAGAAGCCGGCCAGGGCGCGGAAGCCGTCGCAGGTCAGTCAGCGGAATCCGTTGCAGTCCAATCAGCGGGAGCCGTTGCAGTCCAGCCAGCAGAAGCCGTCGCAGACCAGTCAGCGGGAGCCGTTGCAGTCCAGCCAGCAGAAGCCGTCGCAGGCCAAGTTATTGGAAGCCGTCGCAGACCAGTCAGCCGGAGCCGTTGCAGGCCAGTCAGCGGGAGCTGTCGCAGGCCAGTCAGCTGAGGCGGCCGTATGTCCTGTGTGCGCCCAGACGCTTCCCGACGCACTCGACCTAGTGAACCGTCACCTGGACGAGTGCCTGAACCAGCAGTTGCTCTTCAAGTTGACAGGTGGCGCGGAGGTGCGCGGAACGAAGCGCCCATTTGGTTCGTTGCCACCCCATCCTGCTAAGCATAAGAAGATAGAATCGTTCTTTAAGGCGAAACAGTGATTCTTAGAGTTCCTGTTGTCCAAACTTCCGGTGCATTGGAAAGCCATCATATGACGGCCACGAATGCCTATTTTATGAGAGGCGTTCCTGTGATTTTTTGTGCGTCATCGGGTCTCTGCTTGAATACGTGCGATCGCATGAAGCGCTTTTGCGAGGTGCTTCGTTAAATCGATTTTGTTGTGTGCAGCCTGCAACGGCGAACTGTCCACCATGGTGCCAAAGAGTACAGCCAATGTTGTTCTGAATTGTCCTGATGGGTTTCGCGTGATACGATAATGTGATGGGTTATTAAGAAACGACTCACTGACGGTAATACGTGTGCGGCTTTAGGCAGACGTTATAACGCCTTTTTAGCGTACGCTTCGATTAACATGTTTGCCGTTTCATAGCTGGCATGCACGGGAGGCGCTGTCAAGCTGTTGTCAACAAGAGACGCATAGTTTGCCATGTTAAGTTTTTCATTGGTGCAATTTGTGTATGGTATGGTCATCTTCACACAAATATAGCTAATTGTGAACACAAGACATCAAGTTGTCTGTAAGCAGAGTGCTCTGTATACACGTTGCTCTGTCCACCGCTGCTTTGTCCTAATTTATTTTTGAGGCTTCCATCAGCGAGTTTGCAGAATGCACAGAAATACTTGTCTCTCTTCTACCTTCCCTCCTTCCATAGCTATCGCCCTTTCTTCCTCCCTCCTTCACTCCCTCCCTTTATCTGCTTTTTCTTTTAATTTTGGAGAGAGAGAGAGAGAGAGAGAGAGAGAGAGAGAGAGAGAGAGAGAGAGAGAGAGAGAGAGAGAGAGAGAGAGAGAGAGATATATATATATATATATATATATATATATATATATATATGTACATATGTATATATGTATAGTATATGTGTATATATATATATACATGCATATATATATATATATATATATATATATATATATATATATATATATATATATATGTGCAAAATGTTGACGGTACACCATATAACTGGTATTTAACACATCGCCGTTTTCCCAGTATCTCCTTGTAGTTTTAAGGTCTTCAAGTTGCATACGAACGCTCAACTCGAAGTGCAAAAAAAAAGCTGAAGGCTTTTCTTACGTCAAGTATATCTTCTTATGTGTAGCTTCGATAAACCGGATGCATCTTTTCGTTCTGAGTCAATTTTCTTGTAATTGCCGATGCTCATGACAGCATTGAGAGCATCTATTGATAATTCATCGGTGTTCATATTGGCAACGCTACGTTACTTCTAGTAACGACTTCGGATATTTATATTTGCCACATTGCGTTATCTGTGAAATTTGTCGGAGTCAAATTATGTTGACTTAGTCAAGGCTTAACGCGGAAACAAGTTTAGCACGGGCAGGTATTTCTCTTCTGCCTATTTTGGATTTCGATGATTGTAACAGCATGCACGCAAAACAAACCTGTCTGGTACAAAATTACATGATAAGCATAGCAGTGAGCAGGAGCATAGTTCTGCGAAGTGAGTTGGGGTTGGGGGTGAGGGGAGGGTAGAACAGCGTTAATTGATGAACCCTACACTGAAATACACTACCAAGCGGGTTATTCCACAAATTTGGCATCCTACCTTCGCAAAGTAGGGATGGCTGGAGCCCACGTTTTTTTGGGGGGATGGAGCCCCTAGATGAAAGGGAAACCACACCCCGGGCAGGTAGTGAACTGCATGCCTGCAGTCACTAATACAATCGAGACCCCTAAAACAGCTGCAGGATCCCGCGAGCTTTAACCTGTGGCTCGGCTGAACAAGAGGTTGATCTCTCGAACAAAGATCGATTCCAGCGCGGTCGCATGTCTATCTCATCCTCGTGCTAGGATCCTGGTGTTTGCCGTCATGCCGGGCGGGTTACGGGTTTTCTGTGGTGTGAGTAAGCGGGCCACTTTTTGCCAAGCGCATAACGACGCGTCCCGTTGCGGATGGTGCATACGTCATCGATCATGGCGTCAGCCAGCTGGCATTCGGAGAATGCGAGGATCAGGAATGCAAAGACATGATTGTCGAGATCTGCCTCCTTAACTCCTCCGCTGTCCCAAACGGTTTTCACAGTTGGCCTTAGGCTCAGAGTACCTGTTAAGCATAGCTAATTGCGTAAACCCTGAACCCATCACCTAACTATGCCGTCAAGTTCAACGGATTACTTGGGCTCCGCCTTTTCGCCTGACTGGATTGCAAAGTTTTACGTGACCAACAATGCTCCGGTGCGGCCAGCTCGGTCCTGGGTTCCCTTAGATGGGCCAGTTGCCAGCTGAACTCTCCGTTTCAGTCGGGCCAAAAAATGTGCCCACTCTGGGGCTCGTGCCCACTGTCGCTGGATTACGAGTTCAGTATCTCTTCCTCGGATTTTTTTCCACAGATTTTCCTCAGATTACTTTGATTGCTGTCATCCTCTTTGCCACCGATTTGATTTTAGAATCTGAATTGAGCAGAGCAAAGAACGGATCATGCCGAGATTTGAAAAGGCATTTGATTGCGTTGACTGCCGAATACCATGGGAAACCTTATCTCGGAGACTGTCACTGATGCATTTTTTTCTTCTCTCAAATGCATGAACACCTACCATGTATCAAACGGAGAGCTGTGTGAAGTCCATGAACGCTTAATGCAATCTATGACACGTTTACATTGGTATTCTATAAAGATTCATTCTCGGACAGCTCCTAATCTTTCTATAAACAGACGATATCACTAATGCATGCGTCAGCTCATCCCGACTGCTGTATGCCACCGATGCCACTCTGTTCTTAAAATCGAATTGCCCGTCTCAATGATAGAATATATATATATATATATATATATATATATATATATATATATATATATATATATATGTGTGTGTGTGTGTGTGTGTGTGTGTGTGTGTGTGTGTGTGTGTGTGTGTGTGCGTGCGTGAGTGCGTGCGTGCGTGCGTGCGTGAAGTCTGAGTTGATGGTGATCTGCGTCCGAAATCCTAGTGGTCTGACGACTCCGAAACGGCTGATTGCGAACCAAGCTGTCACTTCTGCACTCTGAAGCGGCCTCCCCTGTACCAGGTCGGGGCTTTGTTGCCCACATCGGTTGGTGTAGCACAGTTCATGCCATAGTGGGCTGTTTCATAGCCCAACCGCACGGGTAGAACTAGGCCTTGTCCGAGACTGTTTTTATTCATAAGTTGCGTTTGCGGCTGATAGGTTCATAGGTCCACATGGTGTAGGAACGCACTCCGATATCTTATTTTAGTATTCGGTTGGATGTGCTGATGTCGCAGCCGATCTCTAATAGGAGGCGGTCTAGTGACCTCAGGTGGGTCTTGTCTGATCATGCAGACAGCTCTCCGTGTCCGTGAATCGTGTCAGGGGCTCTGGTATTTCTTTTTTGTTTTGAATCGTTCCGGACGGTGTTAACGGGTCCTTCACCGCTAAACTTCCGTCATCTGTAATGCGCTGTTCCATGACATTCATCTCACTGTTTTGAAACGGTCTTTGAGATGAAGCTGGGGCTGCATAATGGGTTTCTTCACAGAGTGGAATTCCCAGATTTAAGTTTTGTGGTTGTTGTACAGCCTTATCACAGAATAATCATTTGGACGAGACAAAATGAAATCACGTACTTTCTTCTCGTGAATAAAATATATTTTCAGTAGGGTAGTTCGGTTTCTACAGGAGAATGAGACATGCCAGTTTTTTAAGGGCATCCTGCATACATGGGTGTAATCAGCACGGGGGACGGTAGGATCCGGACCCCAGCAACCTTCGGACTGAAGTCCTTTTTTAGTTCGGCCGTATCAGGCGGCACCAAAACGGAAATGGACGCCGGGAACATTTAGGGCAAGGTTGTGTCCACGCTTGAATGCATGATTCCATGCGTTTCAACATCGCTTTCATTGGGAGCAGAGTCCCACGACTGCCAAGTCATTTTGGGCGACTGGGGAACCATTTTCTCTCCCCAGTGAACGTAATAAAAATGTGGCCGCCAAAGCATCAATGCCTAAGTGATCGAAAACAACCTTTCATGATGTGTCAGAATAGTATTGCCAAAAAAGCAACGAGCTTAAAATAGTACGGAATGTGTCGGTCGCCGCAATATTTGCTGATCCTGGCTGCTAATTACAAACTTGAATTCCTCCATTGTACACTATCTATCGACCAGTGTGCGCCAATGACCATTGGAAAAGGAAATGTAACCAGAGGCTTGAAAGATGTGTGCAAAATAGCAAAGATGCACTTTTGGCAAATTTGATGCGGACATTTCATAAAACAGGAGGATGGGACGGTCAAGCATGCTTTTCACACATAGCTTTTTTTTGGGGGGGGGGGGGCGCGGTATTTGCCCATTTCATCCGCTTCCGTCCAACTCCCCCCCCCCCCGGAATGGCCTCTGAAGCTGAATGACTAAGACTTCCACCCGTGGCGCAGATTTGGAGTAAATCGCTGTGATGATATCTGGGCATGATGCAACTCACCCCACATTCCACTATGTTTGAGTCGTTGCCTGCCATGGCACCGCGATCTCACAATGACGAGGTTCTAGCTGACTGAGCCGGCGCATCTGTCGGCCCCGTTGACAACATATTTCCTTAATCACGGGGTGACGGATGTGGTGACACGCACGTGACATCGGAACTGTGCTATTAGTAGCGTGTCAGTCAAATGTTGCTCTGTGGTTGGTGCATAGAAAATGGCGTTGGTGGCTTGTCAGTCAGTTGCCGTACTTGGTACTAACAGTAAATTCCTAGCATAGAAATTATATTTTTTGCACAATAGTAATACATATTTTCCTTACTTAAATGGAAAAACCATGTTTACGCATCACTAGCACTGGAATGAGCGTTACTCACTCCTTCTC